GACGCGAGCACGATGAAGGACAGGCCGACGCCGTGATGAGCTGCATCTTGCTCGTGCACGAGGACTCCCGCACCGACGCGCTGAATGGCTTGAACGTTCGCCTCGGCCATATTATGACGATCTGCACTGCCATCCAGACGAAGCAGGGCTTGGTGGCCCTCGGCGACGTGGACGCGCAGGTGATGTCTGGCGACGAGGGTGTCGCGTCCTGGGGCGCGCTGAAGGCTGCACTGGGCCAGGTGGACGCGTCGCCGCCGAATGGCCCTGATGGGGTCACCATCGACGGCGTGCTGACGATCGACGGCATCAACGAGAAGTGGGGAGCTTCGGTGGCGGAGTGCCGCGGCCTAGCCATGAAATACGCGGGGGCCGTGACCGACGGCACGATGCGCGCCATCAAGAGGATCCAGGAGAGGATTGCTGCGGTGGCGGGTGGAATGCCAGACGGTTCTCCCTGGAAAGAAGGCCTGAACGAGGACCATTCGTACGACGACGTGGCGGCCCACGCCAAGCAGACGCTGTTCAATAACAAACTCGGCAAGACGATCAATGGGGCCCTGGTCGCGTACAGGGATGCTGTGGACAAGGCCCGCCAGACGGCCAGAAAGTTCGAGTTCGGCGGCGTCCTGTCGGAGTGCGTGAGCGGATTCAAGGAGATGCTGGTGAGAGCAAACACGACGGTCTCGGAGGCAGCATTGGTGCAGTTGTTGAAGAAGCCTGCCGAGGCCGTGAAGGACGACCTCAGGAAGGAGCTGGGCGCGGTTGCCGACCGCGGCGTGTCGGCCAACAGGATCTTGCGCCAGATCCTGGAGAAGGCCCAGGAGGCCAAGAACGCTTAGGCGGCACCGTGCCGCCCTGTGCCCAAACATACAATACACAGCACCGTCGTCATCATCAGCATCAGTACCATCGTCGAACGCATGGGTCGCCATTGCAGTCTCCAATACGCAACTCCTCAGCCCGCTCATTCCCCCAGTTCGTCTACCTATGTCCTCCTCCTCCTCCCCCTCCTCCTCCTCCTCCTCCTACTCCCCGTCTCCCTCCTCCTCCTCCTCCTCCTCCTCCTCCTCCCCCTCCTTCTCCTCCCCCTCCTCCTCCTCGTCCTCGTCAGTCGCACGCCTCTCTCTGAGCAGGGGAACGCCATGTGTAATCTTCCGTGTGACAGGCGGGGCCTCGTTTCTGAGCGCGTTTTGGGGCCGATGCAGTCGACGGGATATGCTACGATAGGGTCGCACATTTGATTCGGGCTGTGGCCAGGTTCTTGGGGCCCATCCATCAGGCCATCAAGAAACGATGCCGAAAAGTCGTCGGTCCGATGGGGCCCGCGCGTGGGATGATCACATTTTTCTGCAGCCCCGATGCCGAAACAACTTGCGATCAGGGTTTCGTCGATCCCACCGCGGGCCGAAAAACAGGCCATCAAACATAGACGTCATCGAGGCCATCAAAATCCATCAACCCCAACATAGCCTTCCTACGCTGCGACTGAACTCTCAATCCTAGGTCTCGTTGGCGCGGTCGTCGTCGTCGTCGTCGACGTCGTTGTCTTCTTATGTTGTTGGCCTACGCCAGCTTATTGATCTTCCCTCCTGTATGGCCGAGGCGTCCTTCAACAGCCCCGAGAAAGGAGGAGGAGGAGGAGGAGGCGGCGGAGGCGGAGGCGGAGGCGGAGGCGGAGGCGGGGGTAGGGGCGGAGGAGGAGGAGGAGGAGGAGGAGGAGGAGGCGGCGGAGGAGGAGGAGGAGGAGGAAGGAAGAGGAGGAGGAGAAAGGAAGAGGAGGAGGAGGGGGGCACGAGAGGAGGGAGGAATAGGAAGAAGGAAAGGAAAAGGACTTGCCACCGCTGATTCGCGTGCGATTGACGGCGGTTTCGCCGCCCCCTTGTCACAGCCGCCGCCGTCGTCGTCGTCCCGTCTCTCGTCCACTCGGATTCGCTCGCACACCGAGGCATTCACAGCCAGACACGGCAGGACGTGCCAGAAAACGAGGTGCATATATGGTTTTTTTCGCGTCGAGTGATTTTGGGCAGGTTCGGACCAGATTGTGCCATTATGTAAGCCATGAGGGCAGTCTGAGGTCATCTTGGCCGTTCCAACCCGCCGCGGTCCCTTGCGGCCCGACGACGTCGCAGGTTTGGGTGTGTCTTCCTCCCCCTGACTTTCTCCTCTTCCAGTCTCCTCTCCCGTCTCGCTCCTCCCCCCTCCTTCCTGCTCTGTCCTTCCTGCGTCCTCCCTCCTCTTCCATCCCGTCTCCCCCCCCATCCCCCCTCCCTTCTCAGCAGCAGGAAGGGCAGCCGGAAATATATTGCATTTTGAATATAGGAGGATTGGGAGACACGGCGTATAGATGACGACTGAGGGTGGAGGACAGCAGGAGGTGGGAAGTGGGAGGAAGCCAGAGAGTGAGACGGGACGTAGGAGGAGGAAGGAGGAAGGGGGAGGAGGAGGATGGGGAGAGGGAGGACGAGAGAGCGCTTGTGAGATGGAGAGCCTGAGGCTTGAAGAGGTGGAGGGCTGGAGGAGGGAGCTCGGTCAATGGCCAGGGGGCCTCTTCCCCGCCCTCCTCCTCCTCTTCGTCTTGCCCCTGAGTTCATCATGGCTAGCGTTTTACTGCACGAGCCAAGGTGTCTTCTGCGGGCTCGCAAATTGCAGGTTGGTCTTCGCGTGGCTCTGGGTTCGCTTGGTGCAATCCGGTGGCACAGCCGGTGTAGTTGGGCGTCGCCGTTTTGTGTTGGCAACAAGAAAGTTGGTCTCCTCGACAGTACCCCGTCATCCGCCGTTATGATTTTTTCCGATCCGCTGTCCCAGAGGTCCCGACCGCTCCCCTTGGGTTGGTTTCTCGTTCCGGGTCCATGTTTGATGACCCTGGGGCCTGAAAGCGGCTTCGGGGGCCGAAATCAGGAACATTGCCTAGATTGAAACATTCCAAAGACCGACCACAACGCTGCTTAGTTTGGTTTGTGCTATTGCTTTGTCTTTCGTTTCGTTGTTCGTTGTTCGTTGTTCGTTGTTCGTTGTTCGTTGTTGTTGTTGTTGTTGGTGTTGTGGTTGTTGTTGTGGTTGTTGTTGTTGTTGTTGTTGTTGGTGTTGTTGTTGTTGTTGTCGTTGTTGTTGTTGTTGTTGTTGTTGTTGTTGTCGTTGTTCTTGTTCTTGTTCTTGTTGTTGTCTCATGTCCGTTCTTTGTCATGGTGTTCGACGCACCGTTTCGTTGTTGGCTATGTTTGTTCGGTACGGGTCTCGTTCAAAAGGTTCGCTCTAAACGTTGGGCCTCGAACCGTTTTTCGTTTCCAGTGCCATCTCTTTTTGCCCAGGGCCGTGCCAGGGCGGAGGGACAAAGAGTGGCGAAAGAGTGGAAGCAGGACGTTGGCACAACATGGCGGCGCTGGGGCCCGGGCCATCGCGGGCAGGAGCGCAACGCACAGCGGCAACGAGCGGAGCGGAGGAGGTGCCGGCGGAGAGAGCTGGCCACGAAGCTGCGGCGCCGAGGGGCTCGCACGTGGATGCCGCGCGGACTCCCCGCCTGCCCACGCCCGCCTCTTGTGATGGGTCCCTGGGAGCATCTCGGCCGCGGGAGCCTGGAGAGGGGGCCTCCTCGGCCTCGGCCACGGCCCGCACCGCCGGCGGGGGCCGCCACCCCCGGCGCAAAGACAGGAAGCCGCGAGGACGCGCCGCTTGCCCATGCCCGCTCGCTCTGCGCGGCCCTTGGGAGCAGCTCGGCCGCAGGAGCCTCGGAGCAGGGGCCTCGGCCGGGGCCCGCACCGCCGGCGCGGCCGCCGCCCCCGCCGCTATAGATAGAAAGCGTCTCGCAGAGTGCCGAGGGAGATGCAGAGCAGATGGGCCCTCCCCGGATTTTGTTCTGCGTGTTGCGCAACGCAGGTGCAAGCCTGGCCGCAGAGCACAATCGCCTTCGGCACGGGAGGAACGAGCGACCACAGTCGGTGCACGGCGCGTACGGGCAGGGATGTTTCGACTCAAGTTCGGCTCACGTTGGACTCAAGGTCGACTCAAGTTCGACGCAGCACCGATGCAGCACTGACGCATGAGTGGAGAGAGTGGCTCCAGAAACTACACAGAACGAGTATCGAAACTTCGGACAAGGACCGATCACAACACTGTTCTTTCCGCTGTGCCTCTGTTATTCGTTTCGTTGTTCGTTGTTGTTTTAAGCGCCCGTGTCGTTTTTGGTTTCCTTTGGCACCAGCTTCGTTTTTAATCTGAGTTTTCAACGTTGGGCTTTGATTCGTTTTTTGTTCGAAGCGCCATTGTGTTTTAAGCATCGTTGTGGTCGGCCCTGGCCTTCGGGCCCCCCGGCCGAGCAAGCGCAGCAACTGTTTGAATGTGCCTCTATCTGCCGCAACCTCGTCGATGAGCAGGAGTTCGTGGCCGGCGCAGCCTTCCCACCAGCTGTAGGTCAATGGCGCGTGCACGTTGCACGTCGTCGATGTCGTGCGCATCCACAACGGACCTCGTTTTGCACCCCCCCGTTTGCACTCGACACCGATAGTAAAGATAGCTTCCCAAGGGTACCCTTGCATCCTTGCCTCTTCGGTCATCTTCGGTCCATCCTCAGCCACTTTCGATGGCCAGCCCCGCTCGAAAAGCTTCGGCATGGGTGTCCAAGGCACTTGCGTCCTTATCGCGCATCCTTACTCTCAGTCTTGACTGCAATCATCCGTCCGCAGGCTCGCCTCATGCTCCTCCCCCTTCCCACCTCCTCCTCCTCCTCTGAGAGTCCCCCAACGGCACGATGACCACACCGTGTGGTGAGTCAGTGGGGATCTGGGGTGACCGCACGGCTCTCCGAGGATGTCTCCGACGATGTCTCGGACGAGGATGTCTCGGATGATGCTCTCCGGCGATGCTGTCCGACGCTGTTCTCGGACGATGCTCTCCGACGATGGCTCTCCGACGATCTCTCGGACGATGTCCTCCAACGATGTTTCCGGCGAGGTCTCTTGGGCCGTTCTCCGAGGATGTCTCGTCCTGCCCGTCTGGCACGCCAGGTGGCCCAGACCCTCGGCGCGCTGCTCGGCGCCGCCCCCGCGGCGGCCCTCGCCGGCCAGCAGCCGCGCGAGCTGGACGCCAGCGCCGCGCGGCCTTCGCGGGGGCCTCGGAGGGCTCGGAGGCGCTGGCCGCAGACGTCGTGCTCGGGGGCAACGTTTCGGGTATAGCCAGGACCCCGGGTAAGGGGACCCGGTTAGTGGTAGGGCCCCAATTGAAGGCCAGATTCACTAACCAGGTTTGTCGTAGCTGGTGTTTTACGGGTGACGGCAGTTCCGGTTAGTGGAGATGGGACGGGGGGGCGCCCCCGGTACAAATCACTAAACCAGGTTCCACTAAACCCAGTTCTGCCAACGCCCGAACGTTGGGGGGGAGGGACGGGCCTCAGGGGGGGGATGCATCGGACCTGCCCAGGAGCGTGCGGACTCCCCATCGGAGGCCCATCGCCCATCGATCGGCGAGACATCGCCGACTCCAGGTCCACGTGTCCCCCCCCCTGATGCGAGCGCCCCCCCTCCCTGTCGTGCCGACGACCCGGGCCTCCGACGATCCGACGTTTCCACTCCGGCGGCTGCTCCTCGACTGCGGCCCTCGGGGGTCAGTCGGGCCTGTCCCTCTATCGGGTGTTGCTAGAAGTACCCCTGGCCCAAGGTGCCCCCAGGATTCTCGGGGTGGCCCAGGCGGCCCCCAGGGCACCCCTCACGAGGCCCGGAAGACCCCAGCGGCTCCAACATGGTGCAAAAAGCTGGGGGCACCTTGGGCCAGGGGCACTTCTAGCAACACCCGACGGGAGGAATATTCAGAAACGGTCTAAACATAGCCCGGGGACGATGTTTTAACTAATTTGTGGGCCCTTCTCGAGGCGCTGGCACCTCTCGCCGGCCGTCGGGGTGCCGCGCGTGATGCCCTCTCGGGTGCTGCCAGGAGTGCCCCTGGCCCAAGGCGCCACCCCAGGGCTTCCCGCGGAGGCCCCCGCGGTGCACGGTTCTCCCCGGGGCCATAGGCGACCCGAGGAGGAGGAGGAGGAGGAGGAGGAGGAGGAGGAGGAGGAGGTTGAGGAGGAAAAGGAGGAGGAGGAGGAGGAGGAGGAGGAGGAGGAGGAGGAGGAGGAGGAGGAGGAGGGGGAGAGGAGGAGAGGAGGAGGAGGAGGAGAAGGAGGAGGAGGAGGAGGAGGAGGAGGAGGACGGAGAGGAGGAGGAGGAGGAGGAGGACGGGGTCGCCTAAACCCTGTGGACCTCCAACAGTTTGTGCTCTTGCCATTGGAGGAGGGGAGGAGGGGGAGGAGGAGAGGAGGAGGAGAGGAGGAGGAGGAGGAGGAGGAGGAGGAGGAGGAGGGGGAGGAGGGGGAGGTGGGGGGGGAGGGTGGGAGGGGGGGAGGGGGGGGGGGAGGGCGAGGGGGAGAGGGAGGGAGATGGGGGACAAGCTAGGGTGCGCTCGCGTCATATCTTACATCCTACCCCTCCCTCCCATCCCTTACCATGGCGGAGATCCCCTCTCTACTCGCACAGTCGGATGTCGAGCAGGGCAATGATCCCGAAAGGGTACGCGATGCATTGTAGAGCACGGCATGGCATGGCGTAGAAGAGCACCGCAAAGCGTAGTATCGCACAGCGGCCCCGAACATAACATTGCATAGCATGGCGTTGAAGAGCAAAGCGTAGCATGGCATAGCACGACGTGGCACTGAAGCACTGCATATCACAGCTTCAGCTGAAGTGCCGTGGCATGGCACGGGAAATGACGCCAGCGCTGCAGCGGGAGCACGATTCGGAACGATCGGCAGCGCGGAAAGGAGGCCAGCGCTGCAGCGGGAGCACGATTCGGAACGAGCGGAAGCACGGAAATGAGGCCAGCGCTGCAGCGGGAGCACGATTCGGAACGAGCGGGGCCCGAAATGAGGCCAGCGCCTCAACGAGAGCAGCATTTTGAAAAACATGCAGGCGAAAACCCAACTCCGGGGAATCCTGTGCGTAAGAAACAGTACGGGGGGGGGCGGACACTCCCAAGCCGTCATCAGGGGAAGGAGGAGAGTAGTATTCATATTGAGTAATTGTGAAGGGGGATGGGGAGGGGGAGGGGGACGAGGGGGAGCGGGAGGGGGAGGGGGAGGGGGAGGGGGAGGAGGGGGGAGGAGGGGGAGGAGGAGGAGGAGGAGGAGGAGGAGGAGGAGGAGCAGGAGGAGGAAGCGGGGAGGGGTCGCCTTTCCGTGCTCCTTGCTCCCTCTTGCTGATCCATTTCCTCCCCCTCTATCCTTTGTCCCTCCCTCGTCCCTCGTCCATCCCCTGTCCCTCGTCCTCCCCTCCCTCTTTCTCCCTCTCGCCATCCTTCTTCCTCCCTCGTCCCTTTCAAGGGGAGTCACAGCGTTATGGATAATATGACCATGCCGGTCACTAGAAGAGACCATTTCAACAGCTCGAGCGGGCGAGGAAGCCACCTTCCCCGACGAGCTACGCTTAGCGAGCTCGGCCTTGCTGTGAACCGTGGGCCAAGCCCCACTGGAAATACGAAATGGGTAATCTCCACGACTTTCGTAGGAGGCATGTCTACACTCCTGGGCTAACTTAGCGAGCTGATGAGCGCTGCATGGGAACCCCAGCGTGATTTTGAAGGGAATGGTTCGTGCGGGCCCTCCCACCAACAACGTGCACATGCCGACCAGGGGGGAGCTTCAACAACACTGTCCACAAGATCTGAATGGCATCGCTGCGATTTTAGCTGTGCGGCTGTGGGAGCACGGGAGGTCGACCCCTTCAGCGATTGTAGCTGCGCCCGTTGTCATCAACCATTCAGGAAGGAAAGGACACACAGACACAATTAATCGTCGATCCCCAGGAAGGGATGTGCGAAAGTATGGGATGTGGGGGGAAGACTGAAACCCAGGAAATATGGAAACATATATGGGAAGCATGGGAGTTGTGTGTATTTCTTTGTGGGTCCCTGGGCCCCTTCAATCACATGCCGAGAGCTCGCTCAGCAGGCTGCAGGTCCTGGGCGCCAGCGGCCGGGGGCCCTGGGCTCCTCGGGCGGGGATCGGGGTCCTACTGCGGCTTCTCGGCGCCCGCAGAGCCTCGAGGGTACGTCCTGAGCGGGTGCGGAGTCCTCCGACGGAGGAGGAGGTGGAGGGGGATGAGGAGGAGGAGGGGGAGGAGGAGGGGGAGGAGGAGGAGGAGGAGGAGGAGGAGGAGGAGGAGGAGGAGGAGGAGGAGGAGGAGGAGAGGAGTAGGCAATGGCCTTCGGCCAGTCCCACCGATCCAAGGGACTCCGGATTCGGTGATCTTGGAGTCGTCGGGGACGCTGTTTGGGAGGAAGGGCACTCTTGGAGTCGTCAGGGACGATTCTTGGAGCTGACGTGCCCTCCGGGGGGGGTGCCTGGCGCGATCCTGGGAGGGTCTGGGGAGGGTTCCGAGGGGAGGGTCCTGGGGGAGGTAGCGGCTATATCTGAGAGGGGTCCCTGGGACCCCCAGAATGATCTTGGGGATGCGCAAATCATTGAGAAAACGACAGATGAGGGACCGCCCCTTCCCCCCCCCTCCCCCCCTTCCCATTGGGGGGGGCGGGGAGGGTTCCGAATAAAGAGTCCTGGGGGTGGGGTCCCCGGTACCCCCCGAAACATCTTGGGGATGCGCAAATCATTGAGAAAACGACAGATGGAGGACCCCCCCTCCCTCCCTTCTCCGACAGAGCCACCCCGGCGACCCCCTCAAAGCAGAGCTGAAGTTTTTAAGTTTTTGCTTAGGCTCAGAGCTGAAGCTATTGCTGAAGCTCCTTGTAGTTCACACGCCGGATCGGGGGATTTGCACTTTTCGCCTGCGTGCAAGCATGAACACGAATTTGGATGTCAGCCACATCCGTATAAAGTGCATGCGTTGCGTTAGCTAGCACATAGCCAATCAAATGAAGTGCATGCGTTGGCTCAGTTATCAGCCAATGTCTTTCTTCACATGAGCAGCGTGGACAACGTATGTGGCTTCCTGGTGCGGGGTGCACGGAAAGAGCAGTGCAGACCACCGTATGAATTCGTTCCTCGAGTGTCTCGCCAATATGCCACCACTGATCTGCGTTCTAGCCGCTGGGCTGTTGAGGTTTGCCTGAGTACGATACCCTTTTCCGATATGAGGAGGAGCAGGAGGATGAGAAGGGAGCAAGGGGTAGGATGGAGGGGGAGGGGAAATGGGAAGAGTCCATCGAGGAGGGGTGAGGAGGAGGAGGAGGAGGAGGAGGAGGAGGAGGAGAAGGGAGTAGGCGGCAGTATGATAAGACGAGGAGGAGGAGGGAGGGATGTTGGTGGAGTCCAGCGAGGGGGGATAATGGAGGAGGACGGAGGATAGATGATAAAGAGGATTGAGGAGGATGGGACAAGAGGGACGAGGACGGGCAAGAGCAACTGGAGAGGAGGGCTGAGGAAACACTGAGGAATGAGTACAAGCGAGCTGGTAGCAGAAGGAAGGGACAGGATGATTTAGGAGGAGGGAGAAGCATGAGGGAAGGAGGAGGAGGAGGCGGAGGAGGAGGAGGAGGAGGAGGAGGAGGAGGAGGAGGAGGAGGAAGGGGGAGGCAGTCGGAGGAGTGAAGACGAGGGAGGAGGAGGGAGGGAGGCAGGAGCAGAGCGGAGCGGAGAGGCGCCGGGGGGTGGGCGCGGGGTGGGGGGGGAGACGTCAGCACTGCCGACGCCGCAGGGCTGGGGCGCCAAGGCAAGAGGCACTCGTGGGGGCCCGGCCGGGGGCCCTCGCTGTTCGGGGTCGGGTGGCACTCGTCTAGGCCTCCTGGATGGGGTCCGAGTAGATGGGGTCGGAGGCTCGCGCCGCATCGCCGATGCATCGACGATGCGGCTCGATGTGGACCCCGTGTTTCCCCACACCGGCGTCGACGATGCATCGCCGATGCATCGCCGACGCATCGCGGACGCATCGCCGACACATCGGCGGTGCATTGGCGAGGCGGCGCGAGCCTTCGACCCCATCTGCTCGGATCCCATCTAGGAGGCCTCTGACTGGGGGGGTGGCGTAGCTGTGGGGGGGGGGGGGGGGGCAAAGCCGCAGGCTGGGGCCTCCCTCCGGTGTCCCGTGCGCGGCGCGGGTCTCGGGAGGGAGGCTCTCGGCGTCTTCGCCTGCCACGCTTCCCTGCCCGTTGGCGTCGCTCTAACCCTCGGCCTGCCGGCCTGTGGGGGCAGATGTCGATGCGGGCGCGCCAGCGCGCGGGCCCGAGCTCTGACGCCTCGGGTTAGGGTGGCAGGAGGGGCTCCGCTCCCAGGCCTCGGACGTCTTCTCTTGCCTTCGACTTGGGCCTCCGCAGCCTCCTCCTCCCCCTCGTCCTGCCAGCAGCCAGTCGCCCCATCGGAGGAAGGGTCGAGAGGAGAACGGTGACCATCCTCCTCCCCCTCCTCATCCCACCTTCCTCCCGCATCCCGCGCCTGGCCGCTCTTCCCCCGCCCCCTCCCCCCCCGCCTCCGTCCTCTCACCCTCTCCCGGCGTGGCCCAGACCCTGAAGCGCACTCCTTGTCCCACCGCATCTTTCCTCCTCCGCATCCCCCCCTCGCCTTTTTTCCTGATCCCCCCTCTCCTCTTCCTCTCCTCGTCCCTCTCCCCCTCGCTTCGCTCTCTCCTCCCCGACTCCCCCAGACCTCCGACCTCGCGATTTCTTCGTGACGTGGACGCCCAGAGACACCTCCGTTGAGACCAGCTCCTGTTCCCGAGCCGTCGTTTGACGGTCCCGAGACCCGGCCAGGGACCCAGGTGGCCGAGATCCGACCCGAAAGTGTCCGCCGTGAGTTGTTCAGGTGGTCTGGGCTCGAGGGGGTTGGGCTTTTTCTCTTGTCCGTTCTAAGGATGCGAGCGCTGATGCCCGAGGGCTGTTGGCACTGCGAGCACAGAGGTGTGGCCGAGCGCCTTACCTTGAGGTGACAACGATAGACGGAAAGAGAAAACGAAGACGATAGACGGAAAGAAGACGAGCAATTCTTGCGAGGTGCAATTCAGCATTGGCGCCGGCATACGGTGGTCGAGATACGTCCTCATCCCGCCCATTCCAGCCCAATCCTGGGCGTAGGCCGTATGAAAGCTGCCTGGTAGCCTTTTCGTCCGGCTTCGCGGTTAGCTCTGAATGGCTTCCGCGAGGACCTCTCAGGAGTTCCGCCCGACCCGACCCGCCCCGCCCGTCAGCCTCCACCCACCCGACCCGCCAGTGAAGGTCTGCCGCCAGACCCGTCCGTGGGGCCCGCCCGTCCCGCCCGCTAAGGTCCGCCCGCCCTCACAGTCGTCGTCGTCGTCGTTGTCGTCGCCCTCACAGTCGTCGTCGTCGTTGTCGTCGTCGTCGTCTTCGTCGTCGTCGTCGTCGTTCTCGCCCTGTTCGTCGTTCCCTCCGTCGTCATCGTCGTCGTCGCCGCCCTCGTCGCCGTCGTGACCCGGTGATGCGGACCTGTCTGCCCGCTAGGAACTGGAGCCCTCTCCCCCACGCCTCCTCTTGTGCCAGCAGCAGAACGCCGCTGGTGTCGTTGCCATAGAAGAGGGCCAGCATCACAACCAAAAGGTGTCGTCGTCGTCGTCCTCCTCCTCCTGACACTCCTCCTCCTCCTCCTCCTCCTCCTCGATCCTCCTCCTCCTCCTCCTCCTCCTCCTCCTCCTCCTCCTCCTCCTCCTCCTGCTACCCCTCCCCCTCCTCCGACCGCCGAGGCCGCGGCCCCCCGCGCTGCTGCGTCCCCCGTCGGAGGGCCCCTCCTCGCCCCTGGGAGGCCTGCTGCTCCCGGAGGAGGTGCCTCGCGGGGGAGGGGAAGGGTTAAGTCGGGCCTGTCCCCCTACAGGGAGATTTTCGACGAAAAATAAAAAATACCCCAAACATGCTCCGAAAAGGTCAAAAAACACGGAAAAGATAGTCCCCAGACTATTTTTTGACTATTTGTTGATTGTTTGTGGGTATTCTTAATTTTTTTTTCGAAAGCCCCCCTGTAGGGGGACAGGCCCGACTAGGAAAAGGCTCGGGAGGGAGCAAAACGCACAGGCACTCGTAATCGTCGATACCCAAAAACATAAAAAAAACAAGCGCGTGGAGGGGAAGACGAGCAGGCAAGACAAGATTGAGAGCATCGGGGATTCCTACGATGTGCGTCTCTTTGTTTTCGTTTCCCTGGGCCCCTTCAAAGGCGACATGCCCCAAGGGGGGAGTAGGGAGAAGGAAACGCACCACCACCACCTCCTGGAGAATGGAGGCAGAGCGTGGTCAGAGGTGGTGGTGGTGTATATCGTTTCGGGCGCTGTCGCGGGACATCGTTCACGCCACATCCTGCACACCAGTTCATTTTGAATCCCCTCCTGCTCCCAAGGGCGATGAGAGGGGGCAGTCCTTCTCAGAAGGCGGCGGGGCTTCTCAGAAGCCCTCCCTCGCGCTGTCTGAGAAGATTTGCGCGGTAGGTTCGCGTCGTGGTGTCGGCCGGCGGCGACCCCTCCGCCGGCGTGCAACGTTGAACGCCGCCGGCGACCCAGAATCGGTCGATGTTACACGATCCGACGTTTCGGAAACGGCCGTTCGTTCAAGGTTGAACGATCCCCGCGGTGTCAGAAACCAACGCCGAAGTCGGCACGCCACGAACCTGCCATACGCCGTCTCCGAAGCCACAGACGGCTCCTCAGAAGGCGCGAGGGCTTTGAGAAGCCCCGCTGCCTTCTGAGAAGGCCTGCCCTCTCTCGCTTCCTCCCTGGGCTCGCCGCCGAGAGGAGGACGACGGCGCCGAGGTCAGATCTCCGTTGCTCGAAGCTTTGGACACTGGGGGGGGCTTCTCCTCGCCACGGTTGGATTCCCTTCGGAATTCTGGCCAGGGCGCGCCTTGGACAGGTCTGGGGTTCGAGGAGGAGGACGAGGAGGGGCAGGAGGATAGGGAAGATAGGGAGGAGGAGGAGGAGGAGGAGGAGGAGGAGGAGGAGGAGGAGGAGGAGGAACGACGCCGACGACTATGAGGAGGTGGACGAAGTGGAGGAGACGATGACGACGGCGGCGTCTGCGGTGGCAGCGGCACACGGACGGGAACTGGGAGGGAGAGGACGCTCGGGCTCCTCGGCCGACCAGGCCCTCGAGCCCGCTCCCTGCCAGAGAGGTGCACGCCCTCAACACCCAGGGTTTCGTCGTGGTGGACGGGTTCCTCCAGTCGAAGAACAAACGAGTGCTGAAACATCAGCCGTTGGAGGTCTGTGCGGATTTCGTGGGTCGGCGCCAGACCCCCCCGCGCACCAGAGACGGCGCCTTCGGCGCCACCAGGGGCCCCAGCGCCGACCCGAGAGCTCCGCGCGGAGTCCCGAAAGCTCATGCATTCAGTTGTGCTTGTTCTTCTGCCAAGCACCGCTGCTACGAGAGGCTCGCCCTGCGCGGCGACTGCTGCCCCAGGGCCCCGGAGGCCGCCTGGAAGGCCGCGGCCGCCGTGGCGCCCGCCGTGGCGCGCGCGGGCGCCGCCGGGGTGCCGCTGAGGCCCGCTGGGCTCGGCGGCGGCGACCGCACGTGGAGCAGCACCGTGGTGCCTCGGCGGCGTGCGAAACCCATGGGTCGCCCGCAGGTCGAAGAATCGGGGGTGGACAGAACCCCCCACCCTGACACGTCGATTGTGGAACCTTCCGTTTTCGGTTCTCGAGATGGCGCCGCGGCCGTCCTCTTCCAGGCTTGCGCCCGCCTGGTGTTGGCCCGAGGTCGTTTTCACTGAACCACGTTTTACCAAAGAGGGTCCTGTCCATCCCCGAGTTTTGTGCTCTGATGGGCCTGCTTTCCACCACCACCACCAGAAGTTGGATGGGGGGAAGGATGAGGAGGAGGAGGAGGAGGAGGAGGAGGAGGAGGAGGAGGAGGAGGAGGAAGAGGAAGAGGAGGAGGACGAAGAGGAGGAGGGGGAGGAGGAGGAGGAGGAGGAGGAGGAGGAGGAGGACCCCCTCCCCCTCCAACTGATGGTGGTGGTGGTGGTGGAAAACAGGCCCATCATGATCCTCCAGTGGAAGTGTGAAGATGATCGCGCTTCGCGCACTGCGGCGTGGGCCGCGGGTGTGCCCTCCGCTGGGCCGGCGGCGCGGGAGCGCGAAGATATGGCCACGCGTCGCGCACCGCAAGGCGCGAAGCGCGAGGTCAAGCGGGTGGCCCAGGATTAAGTCGGGCCTGTCCCTCTACAGGGGGAATAGGCAAAAAATAGCCTGGTGACTATCGTTTGAGGGTTTTTGAGCATTTCTAATATATTTTTGGGTATTTTTTATTTTTCGCCCCAAATCCCCTTGTAGGGGGACAGGCCCGACTTAAGCCTAGGACCCCATTGCATGCTGACGCCGTGAGTCGAACAACACGCGGCATAGACATGGACAATTGTTCGGAAGTGCGCGCGGATCTCGTGGGTCGGCGTTGGATCCCCCCTCCATAGGCTCGCTGTGCACGCCAGGGTCGGCGCCGTCGGCGCCGCCATAGGGGGTCTAGCACGGGCCCAAGAAATTCACACAGACCTCCGAATGATTCATATGTTGCTCCGGATTCGATATCCCCAACGTCGTGAGAAGAATGGCGGCGGGCTTTTCTGCCCGGTCTCAGGCCCTGCGACCCTTGCGGCTCGGTCTGACCCGGCCAGTGCCCAAGGAAGACGGGGTTGGGAGCTTGGGCCGTGTTTGTTTTACGACAGCGTGCTTTTCCACGATGGGAGATGTGCGGGGTGAGCCAGTCAGTATCGGTCAACCGGTCTCTATTCCCACCTCAATCCCCATCCTGATCCATCCCACCCTAAGTACCAGATAGGCACAAGCCCCTAAGATCAGCCCATACCTCCCGCTCTCGGGGGCCAAGTCGTCCAGTGGGGACCAGGCCACGCCCGTGGGGTCAGGGATCGGTGACGCGATGCTCCGTCGTGGGCGGTCTGCTCGAGCGGCACCCCGCCTCTCCGAGGCCCGCCCGCGTGGTTGAGCAGGCCCCCCTCGGAGGCCTCTCGGGAGGAGAGGCCCCGATCCCTGCCCTGCAGAGGCCACCGAGGCCGCTCCCCGCCTCTCCTCGGGAGACCTCTCTCGCCGCCGCCGCCGCCGCCGCCGCCCCCGCCGCCGCCGCCGCCCCCGCCCCCGCCGCCGCCGCCGCCGCCGCCGCCGCCGCCGCCGTCGTCGTCGTCGTCGTCGTCGTCGTCGTCGTCGTCGTCGTCGTCGTCGTCGTCGTCGTCGTCGTCGTCGTCGTCGTCGTTGTCGTCGTTGTCGTCGTCGCGCGCCCCACGCGCCAGAGGTGCGCGGCGACGAGATGGCGTGGCTGAGCACGCCGCAGGGTGACTCCGTCCTGCGGCAGGCCGCGCGCCGGGTGTTCGGTGGCCTCCTCCGCGAGGAGTCGGAGCACGCCGACTGTTCACCTGAACAAGTTCCGGACTCAGAGGAGGAAAAGGCAGCCGTACCGGTGCCCTTCCTCGCTTTCCCCTTCTTAGGCCTCCTGGGAGGCCTTCGCCGCCACCGCTGGAGTCGCCCCGAGACTTTCTCGTCAGAGCGCACCCCAGGAGAGGCCCCGGGAGAAGCAGTATCTGTAATTACTCTCTGGTTTCCCCATGGCCAGGCCGACCTTGGGCCCAGACTGCCTGGCCAGGATCGGTGCAGGCTGTGCAGCCAGCGCTGTCCCGAGGAGGGCCGCGCTCCCGAGCTGCCCGAGGAGGGGCCCTCGTGCGGGGACCTCGGCGTGCTGCTCTCGCAGCTGGTCGGGCTGCGCCAGGAGCTCGACGAGGTCTACGGCCTCGTCGGGGCCCCAGCGCTCCCCCGCGCCGCCTCGGCCGCGCCTGTGCTGGAGACCCCATGCAAGGGGGGGGCGGAGGAGAGCTGGGAGACGCCAGTTACACTCGAATAATAGAAGCGGCATCGCCACAAGCTGAGGCGCGCCAGGGGGAGGGGGGGGTCCAGCGCCGACCCCAGAACTCCGCGCGGACCTTCGACAGGCGATGCTTGCGCTGTTTCTGCGATTTCCTGCACAGGGGAGGAGGTGGACAATTCAGGCCAGCGCAGCACCCTCGGTGGGGCTGCAGCGCGTGCTGTCTTCCGCGCCAGGGACCAGACAGAAACGCAGGGGGGGAGGAGCAGAGCCAGAGGACGCCAGCGCACACACCAACAGCAGCCCTGGCCAGGCCGAGCCCAGGTCCAGAGCTGGTGCGTCCCCCCCCTGGCCAGGGCAGGAGGGCGCACATGCACCGTAGAAGGGCGCTGCCGGCAGCCGCTCGGGCTGCGGCGTGGACACGGTGGGGGCTCACGCGGAGCATCAGCGCAAAATGTCCTGGACACTCGTCGGGGGCGGCTCAGAGGGGGGTGAGGACTGCGGGGGGGGGGATATGAGGGCGTGGGCCATGATATTTCCCCAGGTTTCATGGCGCCTCTTCTTATTTCAACACGTCCCTGGCCCCCCCCCCCCGGGCAGCGCACGCGCCGCCAGCCATGATTTGCACCCCTTCCTTTGAACACCCCCCTCTTGGGCGCCCCCGAACTCGCCAGGCCTACGATAGCGAGCCGGCCATGCTCGCAACGCGTACGGCTAACACTGGACGCCGTGCGTGCTCTAGGAGCCTGCGCAGGAGGCGGCACCGGCGCGCTGTGCAACGTGTGGTTGCAGTGGAGACAAAGTTTAACGGACGAAAAACGGTATAAAATATTTTTTTTCGCTGTCGGGGGCGCCTGTCCCAGGGCGGCTGGAAAGTTTATGTGCTCGAAACACCGCCGCAGAGCGGCATATTTGCGTAGCTGCCAGTCCAGCTTCTCTCACCTCGCAGCGGACGGCCGCAGGGCACCACCGTGGCGCCGGGAGCCCTCGCGCTCTCCCATTCACGTCTTCGCCTCCTGGGCAAGGCGGAGGTTGCAGCGATTCCGCGGGCGAGGGGCTTGGCCAGGTCGTCTCCGAGATGCAGCAAGCTCGGGAAAGTCGTGGCCTTGCTCAGGGCCGGAGAGGCCACTGGCGATGCTGGCAAGTCTGGGTCGAAGTCCATGTGTATGTGTCTGTTGATGCATGTTGGCACATCATCAGCGCAAGGTCATGGGCAGGCTAAAGCGGCCTTCGCGCAGGCCCATCGAGAAGATCGAGTGTCTCGAGAAGCAGCTCCGCGATGCGCCAAGTCGAGGTGGCCAAGAATGTGGATGCCTTCGACTCGGCGCGTTCGGTCTGGCCGGGTGTCGCGCGGGTTTCTTGGATCGGTGCTGGGCCCCTCTGGCGGCGACTCCAGTGCCGCCCCTGGCGCGCTCCGCACGCCAGGGAGGGGGTTCCAGCGCCGATTCAAGAAATCCGAGCGGAGCTCCGAAAGTTTCTTGCTTATGCCGTGTTCTGCTCCTTGGGGTTGGAGACCTGTGACCAGGGCGGACCCAGCTGGAGGCCTACATCTTATCTAGCAGGAACTGTCCATCGCGATGTTCTCCCCTTCCCCCACCCCCTCTGGCCCCACCGTCAAAACATTGGGATTAGGTCCACGCTGGTTTCGAAAGGGGCCCGATGCCCATTAGGCCGTCCCACCGTTCTAGGGTCTCGCGCTCCCTGTGCATTTAGACTCAACTGAGACCCGGAAGGGACTTCATTATCTGTCCAAGGTTCTTGCTGGCAAGACTTGGTAGCTGTGGGTGGGCGCTGAGGGGACGAGGCCGTGCCAGCCAGGTCCCGCGTGGCGGGAGCACGCCAGGGACGGCGGAGGTCGCGACACCAACGAGAGGGGTGGTCTGCCCGAGGGGCGAGGGACTGCAGGAACAGAAGCGTTCGGAGCTCCGCGCGGGCTTCTCGGATTGGCGCCGGGACCCCCCTGATTGCGCCCCAGGTGCCGCCCCTGGCGCGCGGCGCGCCAGGGGGGTCCTGGCGCCGATCCAAGAGCTCCGCGCGGAAGTTCGAGCATGGGAGCGAGGACAGAGCTGATTTACCCCAGGATCTGTTCGTCCGTCGAACGAAGGGAACACGCGTCGAATGCTCCGTAGATCTATGGCTCATTCTCTGCATGTGTTCGCAAGCCCGACGCACAACATCACTCATGGTGTGAGTCAATGATGTAGTCGGGCCCCTAGTCGCAAGCTGACCTTTGTGCCGTGTGTTTGTCCCACCTATGTGTGCTGAGTGGGGCTTCCAGGGTGCTCTGCGTGCAGCAGGCTCCCGCTCGCGCCGCGGGGGGCCTCGCGGGCCCCCAGCCGCGCGCTGGAGCGACGGGGGGCGGCGGAGGACGGCTCTGGCTTTGGGCTCCTTCCGATGCTTGTGCAGACACCTTTCTTTGAGATTCTCCAGCTGGTATGGGAGGCTCCCATGGGTGGCCACCGAGAACTATTAGAATCACTTCTGGGCACGTATGCCCAACAAGACCATGCTCAGAACGACCATGCCGAACACCGACCACTCATCCATTCATGCATGCTCAAGAGCATTAGCATTTAGGATGCCAACGTGCACCTGCCACCCACGCCGGACGACCCCACACGCCCGCCTTACTTACGCAGGCCTGATCTTTGCCTCCCAGAGTTTGAGATTACTCAAAAGGGAACCCAGCTCTGGCTGCATCCCCCCCCTCTTCACGCCTGAAACGTGGATGCCACCCTGGCAACGCGCGGTGCGGCCCCGTCCACGCCAGATCCTGCTGTCAGGCAAGGGGGGCCCCTTCCCAGACGCTGTCCGCCGTGAACGAAGAATCACGCAGAAGGTTGCTGGGCCACTGTGGGCCTTGTAGGGCCTGAACGGGCTCGGGGACCACCAAAAAGTGTTCTGGGATGAGAAGCATCTCCTGGGCAACAGCAATCTAGACTTTTGAGGTCCATGTGACGGGTTGGGGGGCGGTGGCCGAGGAAGGGACGGGGGAGCCCTTCCCGTCTCCCCATTCGCACCCTCCTCCTCAACCTCCTAGTTAGCCGCACCGCGGCATGTAATAAGTTCACGCTGCGAATTATATCAGTTCAATCCAATCCAATATTATTTCTCTCCTCTGCTTTCTTCTTCGATCTCGTCCTCTCCTCCGACCACCATAAAACCCCAGAAAGTATCGAAGCCCGTCTTCGCCTCAACCTCCCCATCCCTGTCCTCATCCGTCTCCTCCACCACCTCCTTCTCGTCATTCTCAAGGTCTCTCGGACCCATAAATCCTCTCGAAATCGTTGCCTGAACACTTCCTGGGTTCTATCCTGGCCGATTCCTCATCCGAGATCGTCTTCTGGCGGTCCCAGGGCCCGAGACGGGCCCCTGGAGGCCGAAGTTTCGGAACACAATGCGGTGCGATGTCTTCGATCCTCCCTCCTCCTCCTCCCCTTCCGCCTCCTCCTCCTCCTCCATCGATCCTTCCTCCTCGATTCTCCTCCTTCTCCTCCTCCTTCCATCCTTCCTCCTCGATCCTCCTCCTCCTGATTACTCGATCCTCCTCCCCAGACCGGGATGCCCGGGCCGAGGCCTCCACGCGCATGAGCCTGATGCTGGCGCGGTATCCCGGCACCGGTGCCTACTACACCCGCCACTTGGACGCGCAGCCAGGCGCGTCGCGCCGCAGCCCCCGTGGTTTCGTCGTTGTCGCCGTCGCCGTCCTCGATCGATCCATATACGTAGCACCACGCAGTTGCGGGTGAGGGTGGGGCGGGCGCGGGGTGGGTCGCGGGTGGGTCGCAGGGGGTACCCCGGGTGGATCGCGGGGTGGGTCGCGGGCGGCTCGCGGGCGGCTCGCGGGCGAGGACGACTACAAAGCAACAACTCGCTCGCAGCAGGCAGAATCTCCAGGACCGAACGCCACTTCTGCCACACCCAGGGAGGATGGTTGGTCTCCTCACTCTGATGTTCGATGCTGGGACATGTTTTTCGCTGTTTTCGGCATCCAGGGGCTCGCTTCGTGCCCCACGTTTCAAGAGGAGGAGGACGTCGGTGGCGAGAAGGAACACGCCTCTGGAGCAGGTTGATGCAGACGACGACGAGGAACGGCGGCGGCGGCGTCGTCGTGTTAGTCTTCCACCTCGTTCTCGTTGCTGCCGCCGCCGTCGTCGTTCACCTGGAGCTTTCCCAGAGGAGGACGAGGAGGAGGAGGACGAACGCTCCCCTGGAGTAGGACAACGATGGCAACGGGGGAGGTCGGGTGTTGCGTGCCGCAAGAGGTGGCCCTGGTTTAAGGTGAGCCCAGCTTCTAGACTGCAAGAAGAAGGCCTGGTTGGATTGGGACCGAGTGAACTATCAGTGGGTCTCGTTTGCGATCTTCGCTTGCTCGCCATTTGGCTCGTGAGCCGGTGGCGGATGCCCCCTTACCATCTCCCGCCTCTGGCCTCGCCCTCCCACCTGTGAGGTTTTTGGGTTGGTAGCTGTGGGGGCGAGGATCTCCTCCTCCTCCTCCTCCTCCTCCTCCTCCTCCTCCGTCTCCTCCTCCTCCTCTTCCTCCTCCTCCTCCGTTTTCTCTTCCTTTGGCATGCTATGGGGGCGATGATCTCCTCCTCCTCCTCCTCCTCCTCCTCCTACTCCTCCTCCCTCTCTTCCTCCACCTCCTCCTCATCCTCCTCCTCCTCCTCCTCCTTTCCTCCTCCTCCTCTCCTCCCCCTCTTCCTTCGGCATGCTACGGAGGCGATGATCTCCTCCTCCTCCTCCTCCTCCTCCTCCTCCTCCTCACTCTTCATCTTCCCCCTCCTCCTCCTCCTCCTCCTCCTCCTCCTCCTTCTCCTTCTCCTCCTCCTCCTCCTCCTCCTCCTCCTCCTCCTCCTCCTCCTCCTCCTCCTCCCTCTCCCCCCAATTTGTCCCCGCGGGGGGGGTTGTCGTCGTGGGAGGGAGTCGCCGTGAGGCCCACCCCCCCGGGCCTTCCCCTCCTCTCCATCGCGTTCGCTTCCAGGGCCAAAGAGCGGCTCCTGCTCCGCGGTCCTAGGAGAAGCGCGGGGCCAGGCTCAGCCGGGCGTTCCTTGGTTCGTCTAGCCCCGCAGGCGGTGTCGTTCCTTCCCCTGAGCGGACGCTGCGGGGTCGCGGCAGTCGCCATCCTCCCGCCCTGCTGCCCTCTGCTAAAGGGGCTGTGCCCGCGCACCCACAACGCCGCCTCGCTGGGAGGCCACCAACCAACCAACCAACCAACCCTACCTATCCTTCCCCCATCCCCTCCTCCACTTCCTCCTCCTCCTCCTCCTCCTCCTCCTCCTCCTCCTCCCCCTCCTCCTCCTTCTCCCTCCTCCCGTTTCCCCCTCGCGACTTTCAGAGCCCACTGCAGAATCAGGCGATCGCAAACATGGATTAAGGGGGCGTGGATTCGCGACGGTTCCCGCTTCCACGGGAAGTCGCGGATTTCATCCGCCGAACAGGCGGCACCGGCCGCATTTGGGGGAGGGCACCTCCCCCGATCCATGGACTTGGCGACCGCGCGCCAAATCCATGGATCGCCAATCCACGTTTGCGCGCCCCCGATACAGTGGGGGTGCGCATCAAGAAACTTATTGCTTTTCGTAAAGGTGCCCACGGCTTCGTCGCTCCTGGCCTCGCGCTGCGCGGTGCGTTGAAGAAGTTGTTGAGCTTAGGGTGCTCGGAGCTCCCCCGTGTTGCATCTCGCGCCTACGGGCTTCGGGGCTGGGTTTCTTGCGCGGGGTTCTTGCGGCCGCGCCCGCACAGTAGCCCTCCGTCGGACCAGGGAAGCGAGCAGGAGGGCAGCAAGGATCTCCAGGGACGCCAAGTACGATATCGAAGACCTCCTTTGAAGCAGGACGATGACGAAGAACGGCGACGACGACGACGACAACGACGACGAGGACGAGGGAGGTCGAGTGTTGCCTGGGGAGGCCCAGTCGGCCTCCAGAGCACCCTTCACGAGGCTCTGAGGGTCCCCGCCGTTGCAGAATGGAGGGGGAAGCCGAGGGCACTCTGGGCCAGGATCATCTCTGGCAACCTTTAAGGGAGGAGGGAGGCAGGTACGGCACATTCGCGCCGCGTTGACGCTGTGGCGACACCAGGGTAGGCGCTCAAGGTTGAACGTCGCCAGTGGTCCCGAATCGGTCGATATCGAACGCTCCGCGCCATCGGAAAGCCACGATCTTTCGAGGCTGAACGATCCACGAAGTGTTAGAAACTGGCGCCGACGTCATCGCGCCGTGAAGATGCCGCACGGTGGAAACCCATGCCAAGAAACATCCAGCTTGCCTCCAGGGTGCCCTGGGTTGCTTGGGTTTCGATGGTCTTGCTATGGACAGCGTGACTAGCACCCCGCCCACTGGCGTCCGCGGGAGGCTCTCGGAGCTCCGTGGCGCCCACGTGCAGACAGCCACTGCAGTTGCAGACCAATCCAGCGGCGCCTCCGCTGCCCGGGTCCTCCTCTGTGCCCATCCAGGGGCCAGCCCCCTGAGGGCATCCAGCGCCGCCTGCGCAGGCTCCCTCTCTGCGTGGGCGCGCGGGCTGGCGTCAGGCCCGAATGCCTTCCACCCGCGGGGGCGCAGCCGGCGCGGACATCCGCGCCTAAGCCACCCTGCAAGGCCGCCATGCCCTCTCGCGTAAGACCCGCTTCCCTTCGCCGCTCTCACGACTCGGCCATGGCAACCGCGCGTCCGAGAGAATGAGACGTCACCGACCATGGACACCTGCAGTGCGTGCAGGTGCCCGCGTTGCGCAGCGCCGCGGTCGCACCCCCCCCTCCCAGAAGGCCGCGATGGCCCCCAGCGGCGGCTGACGGCTTTGTACTACCTCAACCCGTCGTGGTCGCCGGAGCCTTGGGGGGCGGGAGGGGGGTCGCGTCAAGCCGTCGCAGTCGCCAGAGCTTTGTTGGGGGGAGGTCCCTGGGCGTTTTCGTTGGTTCTGGCAGGCTTTCCAGCTTCGTGATGCCCTCCAGCGGCTGCGCCTCGCCGAGAGCGTTCCGGGGGTGCCCAGATCCTCCCGAACGGCCGCTGGCAAGTCGAGCTTGGACCCGAAAGCCGATCGGATCAGGGGCAACGGCAGGGAGGGGGTAGGCTCGGGGAAAGATGCATCGAACCCCAAACGCGTATTCATCACCAAGAGCGCCATGATGGCCCACACCGCCCAGGAACGCACGTATGCGCTATCGGGGGCCTATCGCCGATCTATCGGCGATGTATCGCCGATTCCTGGTCGATGTCTCCCCCCTGAGCGCGTCCTCCTCTCACATCCCCCCTCCGGGGTGGCCGCAGCGCGTTGCTGCAGCGGCCCTTCAGGCGTGCCCGGAGGGGAGGCGGCGCTCTGGAGCTCGGGGCGGGAGGTGTCCAGCTGAGGCCACGCGTGTGCTGGGCGAGGTGGCGCAGCCATGGATCGAGGCACTTGGATCAGCGGCGGGCCCCGCTTCCGCACAGAATCGGCGCGCTCCGTCACCAGATCAGGTGGCATTGGCCTGATGTTTCGGTGGGTACCTTCCCCGATCCGTGGATCTGGCGGCGATGGAGATCGGAGCGGCTTCGGCGCGCGATGGTTGTCCGCGGTGGGGGTCGCTCTGGTGCTATCGCCTGCCGTGGCGTCCCTCCATCGCGCTGCCCAGAGTAGACATCCCCTGGACACAAATCCTCACGGCCAATACGTTTCTTGAAAAGTCTGGTTTCTTGCCTTCATCTCTGTTTCCGCTGATCATATTCCTTCTCCTCCCGTCATCCTCCTCCTCCTCTTCATAAATCTCCGCGGCGGGGGGGGGCAGTTACTCCTCTGCTGGGTACCGTATCCTGGTGCTCGGCCCTACGCCGCGGGGACATTGACAATGCCATTTGCGCTTCGCGGTTTGGTGTCAGCATGCCGGTTCGTCTGTTGGGTCCCGCCCCGCGGCACCTCGCCCGATGCCCTGGCGTTCAGTTGCACCAGTGACACTGCAGCCACCTTGAGCTTCCAGGCGCGGGGGTCGTGCATTTGGTGGAGTGGCGGGGCCGTGTGGTCTATAATTCCCTCGGGGCCCGAGTGCCTACTCGCCCTGTGGTACCAACCCAGTTGCACGTGTCATATACTTTGACAGGAGTTGGTCGTGGAGAAGAATCGGGTTGGGAGGTGAACCGACCGTCCCCTTACGCACCACAGCCATCACGTATGTGTGGCAGGTCGCGGGGCAACACGGCGTTGACCTGTACTTCGACCGTGTTGCGCGAACTCCATTCCGATGAGCGAGCGGCGTCCCCTGCGCGTGGGGAGGGAGGTCTCCCCGTGTGGCGGCGGAGGGCGGCCTTTTATGCGATGAGGCAGCATTCTCGTGTGAGGCAGTCCCATCGCGCGGGTTCGATTCTCCGTTTTCCATGGGTCGATGGTTCGTTCTCCCCTTGATCATCATCATCCTCATCATCATAGTCATCATCGCCGTCATCATAATCGTCATCGTGACCTCGCGGGTGCCACTTCCGAGCCAACGTAGGGTCAGCCTGGGAAGCAGGCTGATACCATCCATGCCGCTGTTTGCAACGGCGTGCCCATGTGCACCCGTGATGCGTCGCGGTTGCCCTTCTCTTCGTTTTTGTTGACCAAGCGGCGCTGGGGGCCACACAAAAAACAAGCAACGGCTGGGCGTCGCGGATGGAACCGTGGCCCCCGCGACGGTTCATTGGGGAAAGTGCCGAGGGGAGGTGGACAGGGCTGATGGGCCCAGAGGTTTCGACGCCTTCCCCGTGAGTCGTTTTTTTCGCCCTGGGCCCACTTTTGAGTATTACGCGCCAGGAATGAAGAGCACAGTCTGCCCAGATAAGTCTGGACCTTTTTTTCCCCCCTGGTCATCTGGCGCGTCTTTGTATGTCGTCTCGGGGTTGATCTCCACCGGCCCAGGAGTTCATTCCTCTCCTAGTCTCCCTCACCCGTCCTCACATTTCGGCCGAGTAGAACGGTGTTGCTGAAATCTGGCGATGAAGCACTTGCAAACTAAAACACGCCGATTGAACTTGTGCCCGCGCTGCACACAATATGTTCCAAGTTTTGTTTGTAATCGTCTCCCGCCAACCTTTGAACAAAAAGGACTTGTATCCTGACCAATCAGGCTTCCGGAACGGATTCCGTACAGACGATCATGTGGACACGTTGTTCCAAACACAGATTCAGTACAGACGATCATGTGGAACATTGTTCCATCATGTGGACACGTTGTTCAAACAGAGTTTCAGATCCCCCGGTGGTGCGCGGCACTTGATTTCCAGAAGAGGCACAATGGACCATTAGATTTGATGGAGTGTGATTGCAAGACAGCGTGCCCGCTGCATACATATTTTTGTTCACAATGCTTTCCTCGGGGCAAAAAGGTCGTATCAACACAGTTGTTCTTAGCAGGCCGTGTGGCATGTCCACGAGCACCAAGCAGGGCGATCCATACAGCTCGATCCATATATATATATATACACCCTGGGACGTGAAGCAGACATACGCAGGCTGATCGAAAATATGGCGTGGAACCTGGATGCAGCGATGCGCGTTTGCGGGCAAATTTCGCTGTTTGCAAATGACGTCGTTTTCGTGGGGCACAGTTGGCAACATATTGTAAGGATGCTGCCGGATGTCCGAAGGTCAATTGGTGCAGTGGGTCTTCTGATTCATCCATATTTTCCCTGAGCGTCAGCGCGCATGCCGCGAAAAAGACCGGACGGGGAAACATTGCGGACGCTACAGTTGACCACGTGCAGATCGAGATCGTACCGATCACAGACGTAGTAAAGTAGCTGGGCAAACACGCGGCATTCGAACGCCCAGTGGAAACGGTAATCTAGCACCCGCTACGATAAGATTAGGAGGATTTCATGGCGCACAAGGCGGAGCTGAACAGCATAATAGATTCGCAAACGTATTGTTCCCAGTTGCTCGAGAGCGTGGTCGCGCCCGCTGTCGCACATGTCTGTTCGAGCTGGGCGCTGTCTGTTGCAATGGGACAAACGCCCCAGGCGACGCAACGCCGAAAGCTTGGCGGGAGATGGGGCGTTGGACGACGGCGCGCGAAACGCGCATGCGAAGTCGATGTTCACGAATGTGGGTCATTCCGTGTCCGCATGCGCATTTTCTGCTTCATTGTATAACATTGTGTTTGTTTGTTCATTTTCTTCGTTGCCCAAAAAATGGAAGCGAACCTACTTCAATTATGGCAAATGATATCAGCCCGCGGATAGATTTGATCAAACGGGCGACAAACAAAGTGGACAACGACATTGCCGAGTTTAAGTTGGACAGCTGGCGCTTTGCTCGGAGTCGAAGAATATGGCGCTGCGCAGCAGGGCTTGCCGCCATGACGCAGGACCGGCCGGCGGCGGAGGCGCGCGCCCGGGACGCAGCGGACCGCCAGAGAGCAAGGGGCCGCCGACCACGCGGGCCCAGAAAGCGGTGGAACCATGAAGTGTTAAACTTTCTGTTGGATGCCGGATGCGACGTGGCTGGGGCAAATTGGCCGCGCGTTGCTGCAGACCACAAGTTAAGGGCAGACTGGGGGCAGATTTCTGCACGCGCTGAATTTCCTGCGCGCGCATCTATTCCTGAGTGCTGCGGCCCATTCCGCCCGCCCCCCCACGGGCGCGCCCTGGCGCGACGGCGGCGGCTTTTTCGCTCGTTCGGCCGATTGGAGCGTTTCATGTCCGATGCCTTGCGCTCGAAAATCGAGGTCTGGTGCTCATGAAGGAACTGGGCCTGTCGGTCGGTCTGGCGGCTGCGTTGCGGCCGTCGCCGCCTGGTCGCCGCCGCCCGCGCCTGGGCGCGCCCGTCGGTCTGGCGGCCGCGCCGCTGCCGTTGCCGCCCCGACGTAGGCCTGCGCAACGCAGCGCGCGCCGCGCAGATTCTCTTTCCTCGAAGAATAACGCAGATTCTCCTTTTTCAAAGAACCCCCCCCCGTCCCCAGGGCCAACGGGCGGCCTTTCGCTCGCGCGCGATTCTGCCCCGCCGCCCATCCGAAAAATGAGTTCGCGCCACCCCCGCCAGGCCTGAGTTCGCCCCCATCCCCATCCTGTTCAAAAAATGCCATGTGCGCGCTCGTTAATCATGCATCATCCGTTTAACTAATCCTGCGCTCGCGCGCAGTCGCGCTCGGCGCCGACATCCCTCAAACAACCCGAGGTTACGCGCGGATTTCAAAGTCGAGAACCAACACATGTCAGAACGCATAGTTTTACAACGCGAGTGCTCAAACAAATCCTGCGCGCGCGGCCGCGCGGCTTCATTCGAAAGCCATGCGTTTTCCCCCGTGTTCATCCCTGCCAAGCGGGCTTCTCACTCGGCGCGTCGAACTCATCCGAGCGCCGCTGCGCGCGCGCTGGCGGGGCGCGAGAGGGGGCGCCCCGCGTCGAAAAATTCGGCGCAGGCCGCTCGCGCGCGCCCAGCTCCCTCAGAATCCTGCTTCGCCGACGCGAGGTCGTCGTCATCGTCGTCGGCGGGCGCGTTCAGCGTCGGCGCCTGCACTCGCCTTGCCGCCGTCGTCGCCGCAATCGCCACCATCGCCGCCATTCGCATCATCGCGTGCATTTTCGTCGGCGTCGCCATGGTGCCGCGCCCGCCCGAGTCGCCGATTCGCACTGAAGTCCCCGCTGGGAAGTGCCCGGCGGCCAGCGCCGCTGCGGCCGCGTCGGTGGCGCCAAACTAGCTGGCCGCTAAAAGCGCGAGCTTGAGCTTGCGCGGGCTTGCTCGGCCGCTGAGATGCACCAGCCAGCGCCGGGCGCTCGTCGCAATCGCCGCCGCGTGGGCTTAGCGGGCCAGGTTGCGCGTGGGCGGGAAGGGCGTCCGCAAGTACGTGCAATTTGTCGACCCAGGTGTAGAAATTGAGTGCGCCGCATGCGCTCTCCATTCCAAACTGATGAAGGATCCGCCGTTCCTCCGAGACTGGACTTATCGGCGCCCCCTGGGGGTGGTCAGTTTACGCGTGACCCCCCCCCGTCGCCCATCTAAAACATGAAATTATCGCATTCCAGGCAGGTGGGGGTTCGCCCCCCACCCCGCCCCACCGCGCCCCGCCGCCCTGCCGCAGATGTTTTGCGAGCGATATATTCTTATGATTTTTTTTTTTTTTTGGGGGGGGGGCGAAGCGCGCGCGCGCTCGCTCCCGCGCGCCGACGTCCTTGAGGCCCGCCCACGGGTTTCGCAGCGGTTTTCAAATCGAGAGCCACGAGCCTAATTATATATAACATGTATCATACAACATATATATCGCATTGTTCTCGCTACAAGGGTTCTCAAGTATAGAAGGCTCGCGCCCGCGCTCTTGCCAATTCTTGAAACCACCATGGTTTCTCTGCGTTTTCACAACATGCCACGAAAGGGGAATCTCGCGCGCGCGTCGAAATCGTTCGAGCTCCCTTGCGCCCGCGCCGCTGCAAGAGTCCATGCGACGAAGTGCACGCGCGCGCGCCGTCGCGCGCCCATGCCGGGATCTTTCGACAACCGTGTTTTTTGGAAGGGTTCAAAATCGAGCTCCCTGAAAACATCAGAACACATGGCTTCGCAACGCCATTTCGCATTCCGAACAACACGTCCGCGCGCGTTCTGGCCAGTGCTGGAGACGGCGCTATTTGTTCCCAACATGTTCATCAAATTCGGCCAAACGGTGGTCATCTCGCGACGCATGCCGAACTCATCCGGGCGCCCTTGCGCGCGTGCTTGGGGGGGGGGGGGGGGGGGGGGCGCGATCCGCGTCCAATAGCGCCGCGCTGCCCACTCGAGCGCGTCGGCCGCGCGCTCGCGCGCGCCGAACTCCTTCCAAAACCTACATCGCCAACGCGAGGACATCGTCACGTCAACGGCGGGCGTGATCAACGTCGGTGCCGCCATTGGCCTTGCCGCCGTCATCGCCGCCGTCGCCGCCGTCGTCGCTACTCTCATCGCCACGTCTACCGCCGTCGGCATCGCCATGATACCGCGCCCGCCCAAGTCACCGACTCGCACTGCAGTGCTCGCTTGGAAGTGCCCAGCGGCCAGCGCCACCGCGGCCGCGTCGGTCCCGCCAAAGTAGCTGGCCGCCGCGCCTGCGAGCGCGCGCGGGCTAGCGCGGCCGCAGAGATGCACCGGCCAACGCCGAGCGCTAATCGCCATCACCGCCGCGTGGATTTTGCGAGCCAAGTTGCGGGCTGGCGGGCGGGATGTTTGCGCGAGCAGCGGAGCTGGCAACTTCAAGTTCGACAGGGTGAAAGGCGCCGCGTAGTTTGTCCGGTTGACTGGAAAATTGCGATCTCCCCGCCCGGGGCCATCGCCATTTCGCCCCGCCCCCTGGGGGTGCCCAATATAAATGCGCCGCGGCTCCATCCAGCGCCCAAGATATGCTGTCGCGCCCCCCCGCCCAGACAGGCGCCCCCCCGCAGCCCTCTCCTCCTCGTCAGATAACTTACGCGCGCAATCGTTTCTCGTAAAAGACCGGTTGCTCAGAACCTATCGCGCAAAAACGAGACAAAGTCCACGCGCGCGTCGTCGCGCGCGCATTTCGATTTTCTTCGACGCCGCTGGTTTTCGCACGGATAGCAGGGCCGAGGCGCCCGAAAGCAAATGGCACGCATGGTCTTTGCATCGTGGCAGTCCAAAACATTGTCTGGGCGCGCGCATCTTGCGAATTTCAGTGACCCCCCCCCCCCCCCCAGCACCCGCGCCCCGCCAGAGAATTTTGCGTCCAGCGCAACCTTGCGGGTCGCCCGCGCGCGCGCGTCGGAATCATTTGAACGCCCCCGCGCGCTTGCCGGGGGGGGCGGGGCGAGATTTTCGTCAACAAGTGGAATCTTGGCCACCTCGTGCACGTCGGCCGCGCGCGCATGCTGATATTTGTCAAGCGTCTTCATCTCCGACGCGCGGACGCCATCATCGTCGCCGTCGCGGTCAGCATCCGCGCCGTCATCGGCAGTGCCGTCGCGGTCGCCATCATCCTCACCAACATCGCCAATTTCATCGTTATGTCTGCAAGTGTCATGTTGCCATGATGCCGCGCCCGCCCCCGACGCCCACTCGCGCGGTCGCTCAGGCGCGTCAGCGCGGCCTGCGAGACTCGTTGAACATTCATTTTCCAGCTTTCAGCGCCACCGCGGCCGCGACGGTCGCACCAGGTTGGCCGCGTGCTCTGCGCGCGCGTCTGCGAGCGCTCGCATTGCCGCAGCGATGCGCCAGCCATCGCCGAACAGGCATCGCTATCGCCGCCGCATGGGTTTTGCAGACCAAGTTGTGGGTGGGCGAGTGGGATGATTGCGCGAGCAGTATAGTTGACAGCTGACTGCGAACAGTCAGCGTTTGCACCGCGTATATCGCACAACATACATTCTCATTTCTAAAAGACTAATAGATTCTACCCCCCCCCCGGACTTATCGGGTCCCCCGCGCGTGCTGTACATTACATATGATTCTGACCACCTGTCCATCCTAAATATGAACTCATATCATCCCAGCCAAGCCGGGTTCCCCCCCCTGCGGTTCCCTTGTAAAAAAAAACACTATGCGGTGACATGGTTTGTTCTAACATAGCACTTTGTCACGAATCCCTTGCAAAAGATGGGACGAAGTGCGCGCGCGCGTCGTGGCGCGCGCATGCCGAAATCCTTCAAAAACCTTCGGTTCCGGAGAGATTTCAAAATTGAATTTCCAAAAAACATATAAAAACACATGGTTTCGCAACAGTTATCCAAAAAAAACTTACGCGCGAGCTCTTGCGAGATCTTAAGAAAACCATAGGTTTTCCAAGATTTTCGCAACATGCTACCAAACGGGTTTCGCGAGCGCGCATGTCGAAATCTGTCGAACGCTCTTGCGCGTGTGCCGTCGCGAGAATCCTCTGCAACAAATGGGACGAAGTGCAGACGCGCGCGTCGTCGCGGGCGTATTCCGAAATCCTTCAAAACCTTCGGTTTCGGAAGAATGTCGAAATCGTGCGTCCAATAAACCTACAAAAACAAAAGGTTTCGCAACACGGGTTTTCAACAAAATTGTGCGCGCGCGCTCTTGCGTCGTCGTCGTCGTCGTCGTCGTCCTCCCTCCTCCCTCGTCGTCGTCGTCGTCGTCGCCGTCGTCGTCTTCTGTCTTTCCTCGTCGTCTTTGGCGTCGTCGTCGTTTCCGTCGTCGTTGTCGCCGTGGTCGTCCTTCCTCCCTCGTTGTCTTCGTCGGCGTCTCGTCGTTGTCCCTCCTATTTCGTCGCCGTCGTCGTCGTCGTTGTCGTCGTCGTGGTTTTCACTCCTCCCTCGTCGTTATCCTCCTCCCTCGTCGTCGTCGTCCGTCGTCGGCGTCTCGTCGTCGTTGTCATCGTCGTCGTCTTCCCTCCTCCCTCGTCGTTGTCGTCGTCGTCGTCGCCGTCCTTCCTCCTTCTTCGTCGTTGGCGTCGTCGCCGTCTTCTCTCCTCCATCGTCGTTGTCGTCGTTGTCGCCGTCGCCGTTTTTTCTCCTCCCTCGTCGTCGTCTCCGTTGGCGACGTCGTCGTCGTCTTCGTCGTCGTCGTCGGCGTCGTTGTCGTCGTCGTCGGTGTCGTCGTCGTCGTTGTCGTCGTCGAAAACATTGGAGGCGTCGTCGGTGTCGTCGCAGTCGCTGTCGGCGGCGCCGTCGTCGTCAATGTCGCTGTCGTCGTCGGCATCGGTGTCGTGGCCAAGTGCCACGCAGTACCTACCGTCACGGTCTTGTCTGAAGATGTCTTGCGACCAAGTTGCGGGTGGGAGGGTGGGATGTTTGCATGAGCAGTGGAGAGGACAGCTTCAAGACAGTCGAAGTGGGTTGCACTTCGTAGGTAGCACCACATTCTGTGGACCATATATGTTGTACATCGTCGTAAACTGCACCACGTCGATTGCACCGATTGCGATGTTCAGTTTAGATTGCATTTGTATTGTTTCAAGATTGCGCATCGCTGGCTGCGGCATTTTATTCCACACCATTTTTTTTTTCACAAGTAGCGCAATGTTTGTCTCCTTGTGCATCATCGATTACATTCCGTAGATTATACCACCTAATGTGTATATCGTAAAATAAATGATTTCAACGCGTAAATGGCAGAACACAAGCTGCTCTACGAGTGGTGCGCACCATACATGACAAATCACACATTTTGTGAGGCCCGCCTTGGCTAACAAACCATGGTGTCTACATATAGAGGACGATGGTCATCATGGGTGGTGGTGATGATGGTGATGACGATGAGTCTGTCGATGACGCGAGCGATCGCGATTGACTTTTTTCAGTCGGGCGCGACCGATCGCGATCGATCGGTCGCGGCCCGCCGGCCGCGACCGATTTGGACAGCCGATCGGTCCTTCCCGATCGCGATTGGAAAGTCTGGTATCCAATGATATGGGCCCTCAGTGAAGTCACGGCCCGGACGGGGCAGGTTCTTTTTTGTTTCCCCTCGTCTTCTTCCTCCCCCCGTCTTCCTCTTCCTGACCTAGGAAAGGAGAAGACAAAGGCGGTTCAGCAAGCAAGAGCAGGGGGAGAAAACGCCCCTCTGCCGTCCACTGGACAGCGCTGCTATGGAAGAAAGGGCCGGCCGGACGGCCATCACTCTGGGCTCCGGCCAGCGCGGCGTGGCACCCTCTCCAGAAAATCACCGCGATGCCTCGTGGAGTCTACACTTGACACCTCCCTCCTCGGCTCGGCCAGGGCCCCCGGACAGGGCAGGTCCGCCCCCTCCCCACCCCCCGCGCTTCGCTGCAGGAGCACGGCGGCCGCCTGCGGGCTTACTTGCCCGAGGCGGTGGGGGCGGAGGCCGCCGATGGGCGGGGCGGGGCGCGGCATCTTGCGGATGAGGGGCGATCTACACGGGGGGGGGAGGGAAGTGGAGGGGAAGGGGGAAGGACGAGGAGGAGGAGGACGAGGACGCCTGTCTCCGCTTCCTTTTGTCCTTGGACACCGCGGGCGCATAATTTTTAACGGAAGTGCGCAGCATCAGCAGCAGCAGCAGGACGAGGGGGAGGAGGATGAGGAGGAAAAGGAGGAGGAGTAGGAGAAGGAGGAGGAGGGGTAGGAGGAGGAAAAGAAGAAAAAGGAGGAGTTGGAAGATGAGGAGGAGGCGGGAAAGGAGGAGGAGGAGGAGGAGAAGGAGGAGGAGGAGGAGGAGGGCGAGAGGAGAGGGCGGAGGGGGAGGAGGTGAGGGTGGAGGGATATATGGGGAGGGTGAGGATGCGGAAGATGCGGAAAGGGTGTAGCTCGATGGCCACAGCATCTGGTTCGCCCTTGTAGTACCATGAAGGTGGGCGACACGGGGGACGATCGGCACCATCGATCTCGTGACGTCCAGGGGGCTGACGCGGGCCAGCACTGGTTCCAGCCAGCAGGAAGCCTGGAGAAATGGGCGATTTGTCGCCGCGGCTGGACGCGAGTCGAATAACGGGGCCAGTTTCGACGCCACAAGGGGTCCGGGGATCGATTTACACCAGATTTGCCCTCGTCCCCCCCCCTTTGTGACCGACGTTCTTCGGGCCCATCCAGCGAAGACCCCATGGCCAGTTCCAAGGAGGATCGATGGGGGGACGATCGCGGACTTCAGTCGGATCGAAAAGGTAACGGGCAAGATGGGTGCGGAGACCGTCAGCAAGGACAAGGTGCCTGTGCTGTGGTTCATGCGCTTGGTCCGAAGATATTTGCGCATCAGATAATCAGGTGTGAAACGCGAGCAATCACAGGACGAGGCCGCGCGCAAACCAATCCGCTGACGCCCCTTAGGCGGCATGGGATGGGGACAGAGAGGGCGGCCGACTGTCGTGGCAACCCAGACGAGCCGTTGACGTCGAGCCTGCGGCGGCCAGTAAGTAACACGCGCTCGCGATGGTTCCTCGGCGAGCGCTCGCTCGCTCGGCGCTGCGCGGGTGATGGTGGCAGGTCGTGCGAAGATGGGAGCCAGGCGATGAGAGGCAACGCGGAGCCCGCAGCGGCGGCGGACAACGACTAGAGAGGCGAAGGACAGCACAGACACACACACACACACACACTTGTTCTTCCAGCGGCGAGGTGACGACGCCGTCGTGATGCGCTAATCCGGGACACGCTCAGGCGAAACTCCATCTGGCGTGGCGCACACGCACACCACACGCACACGCACACGCCAGCACAGCACACGCACACGCACACGCACACGCACACGCACACGCACACGCACACGCACACGCACACGCACACGCACACGCACACGCACACGCACACGCACACGCACACGCACACGCACACGCACACGCACACGCACACGCACACGCACACGCACACGCACACGCACACGCACACGCACACGCACACGCACACGCACACGCACACGCACACGCACACGCACACGCACACGCACACGCACACGCACACGCACACGCACACGCACTCGCACTCGCACTCGCACTCGCACTCGCACTCGCACTCGCACTCGCACTCGCACTCGCACTCGTTCACATATTGTTTTGGCGTCGCGGCTGGGCGCGCAGCGGCGCGGCGGAGAAAGGTCTGGCGAAGAGGCGCGCCGCAGGGCAGGTCCACGGACGAAAACAGGAGAAGCGGGCGGGCCGTGCCAAAGCTCTCTGTCTCTCTTTCTCTCTTTCCTTTCTTTTTGTTCCCTCTCTCTCCCTGTCTCTTACGCACACGCACGCACACACACACACACTTTGGGAGGTCGCGGCCTCGCGCGCAGCGTCGAGGCGGAGAGAAAGTCACGGAACGGGCGCGCGCGCGCGGGGGGGGCGTGCTCAGAGCGTGAGGGGCCCATTGTGGGTCAACCAGCCATCCGCAGCGAAGGGGCAGTGGGCGGAAGGGCAGAGCCCAGGCGCTGGAGGCGCAGCTCGACGGGCGACGAAAACGACAGACGGAGCCGCGCGCACCAATGCAAGCGGCCGAGCGGGCACGCACAGGGCGCAGAGGATGAGAGAACAAAGAGGACGACACAGTGCAGGCACACCATCCAACACACACACACACAAACACACATTCACACACACACACTCACACACACACACACTCTTTCGTGGCGCACGCGGGGGGGGGGCGGAGAAGCCAATTGCACGTTCGGAAGACACGCCCAGCGAAGCGAAACAACGCCCGGCCAAGTGAGCATCCGGGGACGCCTTGGGGGCCCGACCGTGAAGAAGGGGAGAATCGCTAGGCCCTCACGGCACAGAGGCGGGAGGCTGCGGGCAGCGGGCAGTGGCGGGGTGCAGCGGGCAGCAGCGCCAAACGGGCGCTGGCTGGAAGGGCCCCGCAGGCGGCGGCGGGCAGCGGGGCGGCAGACGGCGGCGGGGCAGCGGGCGGCGTCAAACGGGCGCATCCGAGGCGGGAGGGCAGCGAACGGCGGGGAGTCGCTGACCGACACGTCGTGGGATCGCCGAGAGCCGATTCAGCAACTAAAACGGCACCCACACAGAAACACACACACACACACCAACACGCAAACACACACACACACACGCAAAAACACGCACGCGCACACACTCACTCACTAACTCACTCACTCACTCACTCACTCACTCACTCACTCACTCACTCACTCTTTCACTGACTCACTCACTCACACTTACAAGCGCGCATTGTTTCCCAACCCTCCGTTGTTGGGTTCTCGTTCTGCATAGAGCACTGTGATCGCGTCCTGCCTTCTCCTCCTCCCGCCTCCCTCCGTCCTCCCTGTCGTTCTCTCTCTCTCTCTGTTTCTCTCTGTTTCTCTCTGTTTCTCTCTCTCTCTCTCTTTCTCTCCTTTTGTGTGTCGTACCTGGGGCTGGGGGGCTGCGAACTGCGAACCCGTCGCCACTTTCGAGGGCTGCTGGTGGGGTCCAGCAAGGTGACGTCATACGCAGATCAAAGCGCGACCTCGCCGTCGCTGGGGGCTGCGAACTGCGAACCCGTCGCCACTTTCGAGGGCTGCTGGTGGGGTCCAGCGGAGTGACGTCATACGCAGATCAAAGCGCGACCTCGCCGTCGCTGGGGGGCTGCGAACTGCGAAGCTGTCGCCACTTTCGAAGGCTGCTTTGGGGTCCAGCGGAGTGACGTCTTACGCTTATCAGAGCGGGACCTCGCCGGCGCAAGAAGGCTGCGAATTGCGAAACTCTCGCCACATTCGAGGGTTGCTGGTGGGGTCCAGCGAGGTAATGTCATACGCAGATCAGAGCGGCGCCTCGCCCTCGCTTGGGGGCTGCGAACCGCGAAATTGTCGCCACTTCTGGGGTGTCCAGCGGAGTGACGTCATACGCAGATCAGATCGCGACCTCGCCGTCGCTGCGGCGCTGCGATCTGCGACGCTGTCGCCACTTTCGAGCGCTGTTTTGGGGGTCCAGCGGGGTGACGTCTTACGCAAATCAGAGCGGGTCCTCGCCGTCGCGGGGGGGCTGCGAACTGCGAAACTGTCGCCACTTTCGAAGGCTGCTTTGGGGTCCAGCGGAGTGACGTCTTACGCAGATCAGAGCGGGACCTCGCCGGCGCAAGAAGGCTGCGAATTGCGAAACTCTCGCCACATTCGAGGGTTGCTGGTGGGGTCCAGCGAGGTAATGTCATACGCAGATCAGAGCGGCGCCTCGCCCTCGCTTGGGGGCTGCGAACCGCGAAATTGTCGCCACTTCTGGGGTGTCCAGCGGAGTGACGTCATACGCAGATCAGATCGCGACCTCGCCGTCGCTGCGGCGCTGCGATCTGCGACGCTGTCGCCACTTTCGAGCGCTGTTTTGGGGGTCCAGCGGGGTGACGTCTTACGCAAATCAGAGCGGGTCCTCGCCGTCGCGGGGGGGCTGCGAACTGCGAAATTGTCACCACTGCTGAGGGCTGCTGTGGGTCCAGCGGAGTTGCGTCTGACGCAGGTCAGAGCGGGTCCTCGCCTCAGGGACCTAACGAATCATATCCATCAAGGTTTTGTGCATCTATCGGTGTCCTGCGTGTCGCGCAGCTCGCGAGCCTCACAAGGAACGTCTGCAGAACATACATTTCTTTGCCATGTAGTCACCCCCACTGCAGTCGACCCAGCTATTCTGGCCTCGCGTTGCGCAGGGGTTGGGTACGTCGCCATGGTAATTTTGTGGCGTCGCGGGTTCGGTCACTGCGTCGAGGCGAAGAAAGTCGGGAAGTGGAGCAAAATGCGCGCGCGCGGCTGGCCCAGTCAGAAGCCAGCGGCAGTGACTCACCCGCAGAGATCAACCGGAACATGCGCACGCCTGGGTGTGGGCTGCGGGGAGGAAGAACGATCGGACGAGGATAAATGCGTTTCAGAGCGTTCCGGAACGCTCTCAGAGCGTTCCAGAGCGCTCTGAGAAGGCCACGGCGCCCGCGACGTCCTCCAGAGCTGTCGGATCTCAGAGATTCTCGATTCCTCACCCGATGTTATCCCCGTTTTGGCTTCGTCTCAGAGGTGGCGCCGAAAAGCCACACACACACACGCGCGCACGCGCACACGCACACACAAGCACACACACGCACACGCAGACACGCACAAACACACGCACACGCACACACACACACAGACACAGACACACACGCACACGCACACGCACACGCACACGCACACGCACAACACACAACGCACAACGCACAACGCACACACGCACACACGCACACACGCACACACGCACACACGCACACATGCACACGCGCACGCGCACGCGCACGCGCACGCGCACACGCGCACGCGCACACGCACGCACACACGCACACCCGTGGCCCGCAGGTCGAGGGCGCGCGCTGCCTGGGCGACGGCGAGGCCCCGTGCCCAGCCTTCGGGCTCTCTCTGCGGCAGGGTCGCGCCGCTGCTCGGGAGGGTCGCGCCGCTGCTTGGGGGGACGGCAGCGGGCTCGGGACCGGGGCTCAAGATGTTGGGCCTGTGTTCCACCACCACCACCATAGGTTGGAGGGGGGAGGGCGTCCTCCTCTTCCTCCTCCTTCCCCCCTCCAACTTCTGTTGGTGGTGGTAGTGGAAAACAGGGCCCATCACAAGGCCAGGCGATCGCAAACGTGGATCGAGGGGAGATGGATTGGCGACGGGTCACGTTTCCATGGGAAATCGCGGAGTCCCGCCGCCGAGCGAGGCGGCACCGGCCGCATTTTGGAGAGCGCCCCCACCCGCCCCCGATCCATGGATTTGGCGACGGCGCCGCAAATCCATGTATCGCTAATCCATGTTTGCGCGCCCCCGACAAGAGACGGGAACCAATGCAAACGAGGATCCTGCAGGGCCAGGGTTGCATTGACCCGGGTTGGGGTGCAGGATCCTGCAGGATCCCGCAGGGTCTCTCAGGATCCTCCCAAGCCCGACAGACCCGGGCTTAGATCTACTCGGATCAGTAGATCCCCGACGGGAGCAACTTGGCGGCGAAATCCGAGCCCTACCCTCGCCGATGAAGAATCCAGGCAGCTCGATGGAAAGCGGGGGTAAGGCTTGGATGTCGCCACCCAGCAACGTCGAAGGGCGAAGTTTCGGATTTGATGTTCGAGGAATTCTGACATTTTCGTTGGTTTTCGGCGGTTCCCCAGCCTCGAGATACGTTCCAGCAGCTGCGCGTCGCCGGGAGGCGTCCTGGGGTGCCGTGATTGCCTCGACCGTCCGCCTCAGAGCCGAACTATGACCCGAAAACCAATGTTCAACGCTAGGGTGGTATAGACTGAGGACCGCACGGTCATGTCAGCTAGTGATTAACACATGATCGACCCCCCCTGGGGCTGATGAATAGACCCCGCGGTGCGCGAAATTTTGTTTTAATCGTACGCGCCAGGGCTCGAAGAGTTCGGGGGACCACCGCGCCGCGGATGATGGCGAACGGCATGAACGAGGAGGAGGAGGAGGAGGAAGAGGAGGAGGAGGAGGAAGAAGAGGAGGAGGAGGAGGAGGAGGAGGAGGAGGAGGAGGACGGGGAGGAGGAGGAGGAAGAGGAGGAGGAGGAGGATAATCATAATAGTAATAAGCAGAAGCAGACGCAAAAGCAGACGCATAATAATAATACGAATAAGAATAAGAATACGAGCAATAATAAAAATAAGTAATAATAACAATCATAATAATAATACGATTAATAATAATAAGAATAAGAATAATAATAATAATAAGAAGACGACTGATAATAATAATAAAACGAATAATAATAAGAATAAGAAGAAGAGTAAGAATAATACAAAGAAGGGTACTAATAAAAAGAAGAAGAAGAAGAAGAAGGAGAAGAAGAAGGAGGAGGAGGAGGAGGAGGCGAGGGAGGAGAAACGGCCACGACGACGGCGGCGGCGGTGGCGACGACGACCACGACAGAGGGAGGGGAGGAGGATTGCCCGCCTTGCTCGGGTCGGACGAAAGGCTGGGAAAGGAAAGGGGGGGGGGGGGCGAAACCTGCTGCGTGCAGCTGGTTTCGGTCGCCCCGCCGAGGGGCACGTCCCCGATGCATGCCCGCTTTCGGCGCCAGGAGGCGTTCGGACAAGCAACAATGTGAGCTGCATGGCGATTCCCCGCCTGGCCACGCCCCCCCCCCCTTGGTCCAGCCAGCCGTGCTCGCGGGCCCGCGAGGCAGCTGTCTCTCCCGTGGCTGTGGCCAGGGACGAGGAACCGAATCGGTTTGACAGAAAAGAGCATGGAATGTGCAGGGGGCGAGAGCCGACAGCAGTTCTTCCTCGTTTCGAACAGGTGTCGCCCTGGCTCACGGTCCCTGCTTCTGCCGCCCTTGCCTCCCGCCTCCCCTTCCCCCAGTCTGCGGTGTTGCTGTCGCATTTTCGCTGGCGGCTGGGCGTCGGCACTGATCACCAGCGCCGCCGCCGTTGTTTTCAATTTAGCAAGCGCCACCCCGCGAATCGCCCGAGCAGGGGAACCATATTTCTAAACGCGCGCCCCCCCACGGATTTGTTAATCGCAACCTGCAATTCTCGCCATCGGGGGTGTATCGCTAATTTTTCTGCGATGCGGGGCACGTTCTAGGCCGATGCCCCCCCCTGAGTTCGTCCCCCCTTAACGTTCCCCCTCGCAACTGACGTCCCCCGAGCCAAAATCGTGACCGAAAGGGCGGGGACGAAAACCGACAATTGCACCTGCCACCTGCCGCTGTTGAACAGGACTCGCTATCGGTGTCGCCGCGGACGTGGTCCATTTGGCACAACCGTCGCCTGCCCAACCGTGACAGCCATCGGTTTGGGACCACATTTTTCGTAAGGCATCGTTTATCGTAGCAGGCCTCCGGGCTCTTTCAGTCCGTCCGTGTTTCGGGCGTGCCGAATTGCGAGATGGGGGTTCGGGGGTTAGGCCCAATCTTCAGTGGATTGGCCTTCAAACCCAATCTTCGGGCGGATTGACTTCTTCAGCCCCAGGTGTTACTTTAAATTCGGCCGTTTGGGTGGCCCAGAAGTGGATCCAGGACAAACGGTGCCGGGCGCGAGGGGTCGAGGCTTTTGGGCTATGAGGATTGACAAAACATCGCCGGACAAAAAAAGTTTGGTTTGGCCTCTAGTTGTGTGACCGCTCGTGGACTCATTCGTGTTACGTTTTATTTTCGCTTGTCTACAGAGTCGGTGCCCCCTCTAGGCCGCGTTCGTACCCCCGCTGTCGTTGTGGCATGATGGCGCAGGCCCGCGGAGGACGTGGGGCGTGTCCGAACGGAGGCGGAGCTCGAACGGACGCAAAACGACAGCTAACGCCCAGGCGCCACGCGAAGGCTCCCAGGCGATCCTGCCACTCCGGGACGCCTTTCGGCGAAACGCAGCTGCTGGAACGCATCTGGAGGCCAGGGAACCCCCGAAAACGAACGAAACGTCCGAAAACCTCGAACATCAACCCGGAACTTCGCCGTTTGACGTTGCTAGGTGGCGATGCGCGAACGGCGACACAACACCAGGGGTGCTTCGGAGGTGTCTCGGAGGCGCTGCGGAGGACCTTTTGGGGGACAGCCGGGTGCGAGCCGCCCCGGCGCGGCGGCGACGTTTCGAGGCCCTCCCTGCCTGGGCTTCGGGGGGGGGGGGCGCCCTCGTGGCCGCGACGGGGCGCGGCCCGAGCAGGCCCGCGAGGGCCCTGGGGGTGGACCCCCAGCGAAGGCCACAGAGAACCCCCGGCACAAGCGCAACCTTCCGGAGCTCCGCGCGGATCTTTTTTGGAGTCCGCGCTGGGGCCCCCTCCCGGGCTCGCGGAGCGCGCCAGGGGCGGCGATGGAGGGTCCGCGAGGGGGTGGGCCCAGCGTTGACTTGGCATCGCTCGGACGTGTGCATTTTGTCTCGGCGAGAACCATCGAGGACCATCCTGGACCATCAAGCAAAAAAAAACGCGCACGATACCGAAAAATACACGGGAAATGGACGTCCGAGCGACGGCAAGTTGACCCAAGAAATCCGCGCTGAGCTCAAAAAGTATATGGTTCTACCCTTTTTGCTCCTTTGGAAAAGGGCTTCACGGCAGCTTCCCAGGCACCCGAAGCCTCGAGGAGTTCGGGGCGGCAGGCTTGCTGCCGTCTTGAGCCTTTTGGTGGGCTTGGTCCCGGGCCTCGGGAGTGTCAGGAGAAGACTGACGCATCCAATAGAAACGAACGCAACGCCGGATTGCTGGGTTCGCGCCGCCTCGACGCCTTCGGAGGACAAGGGAAAGGTAGGGAGGAAGAGGATCAGGATAACAGAAAGGAATGCGAAACTTGCAATGATGAGTAATATCCATGAACGGAAGAGGTGGATCCTGCAATATCAAGAATGCTCCAGCGTCCTGTCTAGTGCGTTCCGCGTCCTCGTCCTGTCTGGAGCTTGAGTCTCCCTTGGAAGAGATGGGTGCCCCCTCGGCTGTCCTTTGCAATCAGTCCCGACTGCAATGATACGAATACCAATACTCAGAAGAAACAGGACACAAAGAAAAAGAAGAGGCAGAGGCGGGGAGGAGGCTAGAGGAAACGAGAGGGAGAGAGGTTGCGAGAGAGAGAGAGAGAGAGACATACGTATGTATATACATATACGTACACCTATATTCATTTATATATTTAGGGAGAGAGAGAGAGAGGTAACAAGAAATAGGGGGGCATGAGGTGCAGAGGGGGTAGGAACGCCAGGCGGGATCAGGTGGAAGGGGCGGGGCTCGTCGTGCTTTCCTGTGGCGTCGCCCGCACGGTGGCCCCACCCCGCCGCGCGCGCCGAGCCGACGCGCCGCGGCAGTGGGCGCTCGACATCGACCCGCTCAGCGACCGCCTGGTGCTCTTCTCCAGCCAGTGGGCAGGGGGGGGGAGCGATAGCCGGTCCTCCTCGTCTCCCTCCCCTCCTCCGCTGCCCGTCCGTCGTCCCCCTCCCCTCGGCGTCCCCGCCTCCTCCCCCCTCCGTCGCCCCCCCCCCGCTCCGCTCCGCCTGCACTCCCTCTCTTCCTCTTCACCGCCTCCCTCCGCCTCCTTCCTCCCTCCCTCTTCCTCCGCAGTCGGCGCTTGCACTGAAGAGGTTCTCGAGGACGTGGGGAGGATTTCGCGAGAGTGCCGCAGGGCTTGCTTCGTGGGGCAGGGTGTGGCCGCCAGGGGGTAGGGGGGGACGCAGTGGCTCCGCATCAAGGAAAAGGGCCCCCCTCCTCCTCCTTCTCCTCCTCTTCTTCGACTTCCGCTGTCGCTCATGTTTGAGCCCTCGTCCTCCTCCTCCTGCTCCTCCTCCTCCGCCTCCCCCTCCACGTCCTCCTCCTCCTCCTCCTCCCCTCCTCATCCCCCTCCTTCCTTCATTCCTTCCGTTGGAGGCTGTTTGCCGGTTTCGGATTCCCTTGCCACGGATCCAGGTGGGGGCCCAAGAAACATGATTTCCGAGCGGTGCGAACCGCTTTGATGTTGATTGTGATTATGATTTTGATGATGGTGTTGTTGATGATGATGTTGATACTGATGGTAATTATGATGATGCTGATGCTGATGATGATGATGATGATGATGATGATGATGATGATGATGGTAATGGTGATGCTGATGGTGATGATCATGGTGATGGTGATGACGATACTGATGCTGATAATGATGATGCATACCATACTGATTGTGATGAGTGTACGTTTGATGGTTATGATGGTGATGGTGCTGGGATGGTGATGGTGGTGATGATGACGATGGCGATGACGATCACGCCGGTGCTGATGCTGATGATGATGATGATGCTGCTGATGGTGGTGATGGTGATGATTACGATGCTGCCATCTGCGATGAAGCAGGGAAGTGTCACGAATGTTGTGTGAATTTGTCCACTTCCGCTGTCCATTGCTGGCACGTTTCTTGCGGAGTGCACAATTGCGTGGAGTGCCATCAGGACTACAAAAAAATGTCTTCACCCAAGAAGAAGCAGGATATTTGCATATTATTTTCTGATGCCCCACCTGCGTGTCCACTACTATTTGGGAAAGTTGCTCGGCAGACGCTTTTCCTAATACTGTTGCATTGCTTATCCGGGAATTAGATGAAGGCGCAATCCCCTGCAGACGCAGCAGACATTTGCAATGTAATCAAGTTAGACGCATTCTGCCGGATTTGAGCAGCCAGCCAGAATCTAGTGAGTATAGCAGTTTTTCGTTTACGCAGAATTTGATGTTCTACTGTGTCAGAATGTTGTTCGTGGCCAGATGTGGATCAGTTGCTTGAATGTCCTGGTGGCCTCCCCCCAGTCGCCGTGTCAATTCGGATCCAATTTTGCCATCTCGCAGAACTGACACTGTACGAAACATCGCTTCTCGAGCAACTGTATTGCGTTCGCCTGATGGTTTTGTTCGTAAAATCTGGATTTGCAACTTATTGTTCCAAGTCAATTGAAGGCCTCATGTTACTATTTCGTTGGTTCTTGCCGCAAGCATCCTTCGCAGGTTTTGTCGGACGCAAGCATTGTGCGGCCGTTACAACACATGTCAAGCGATATCAAGTGTGCGGGTTCCTGTTGTAAATGCGGATCACCAAACGCATCGTGAGCATTTTCTGGGTGGTGATGAACAAGTATGGCGAGAGGGGACACCCTTGGCCTATCTACCTGCCTGCTTCTGTTTTTGGGAAGTCTGGCCCGTATGTTTTAGAATTCTGAAGTGCTTGACCGCGTAAGTTGATTTCACCATGTTTACGAAGCACTGCGGCATGCCAAACCTTATTCAAGCGTGGCACATACAATCTGGTTTGAGTGTTTCGTGAGTTTTTGACAAGTTCAGCATAAACACGAGCTTGCCACCGCTGTTGCTCAGATGTGCAACATCCATCATTCGCCGGACCATCATCAAAGCATCGCCTGTGCCACGTCTTGGCCGGAATCCAAATTGCGAATCCCGCATTCTCAGGGAAGCGGGGACAAGGTAACAACAGACGGGATAAGAGGAAACGGCCAGTTCGAGGCAACACGCGCGCAATGTTTCAGTGCAGTTTTTTTCGGTTTTCGCGTTCAATGCATCACCTGTCACATGTCGTTTGCGTTGCAAAGTTTCGGCTGTTGCACTGCAATCTGTTGTTTTAGGCCCTCCGCTACCCGGTCTCAGGCCGGGGCATTTCTGCAGTTTGTCCGTGCGTAGTTTCAGAAAAAACGGCAATGCCGTTTTTTTCGAGTTGTCGAAAAACAGCCGTGCAGTTATTTGTTCCAGTCGTTGCCCATGGCGGGCCTGTTTCCCCCAGTCAGGCGTTATCCGATTTAGTTTTCTTTGGCATTATTCTTCAGTTCTTCTTTGAACCGACGCGTCGAGCAATACAGAAGCCAGTATCTTGCACCTAGCTGGCAGCAGAGATATCCGCCTGGTGTGTTGGTAGTGCAGCATCCATTTTTTGAAAAGCAAAGCGACATCTGCGGATATTTACGACATTGGAATCGCATCTTGGCCCCAGCACTGACAGCACATCGCCAAAAGTGCATCGCAGGCACTGCCATATTAGCCAAACTCGTTCAGAAATTTGGCAGTATGTCGTCAGCTCCGTCGGCGCTGCCTTGTTTCAGTTTCCGCAGTGCTGTTTTCATCTTTGCCATATTGATGGTCCCTACGTCGACAGGTAAAAGTATTGCACAATGTATATTGACGTTATGGCAGAAGCGCTGGGACGTTGTATTCCCATTGTGCTTTGCCGAAACAGGCTGCCAAGAAAGTCGGCCTTTCTCCAGTGTCTCCCAGCGAACGAGCAGGGCGCTTGATGGTTGTCTGCTCTGCGGCTTCTGGTTTGCGGAGGTATTGCGTTGCGTTCTTATTTCCGGCAAACGTCGGATCCATGAGCATTGGGCGTCACGTAATGGGGGGATCATACATAAATGACGGGGGGGCGAGGGTGGTCCGAAAAGGTACCCGAACGGTACCTGAACGAGCCCCCTGCGGCTCCGGAGGGGGCCCGGGAGGGGGCCCGAAAGGGGCAGGAAAGGGGACCGTGTCTGACCTCCCTATCTCTGACCCCCCCCCCATGAAGCCACGCCCAAGAGCAGTCTCTCCCGGTCCGGCTTCTCAGAGCTCGCAATTTCCGCACAGAGTGTCTCTTCCTCAGCGCAGTCTTCGGGCTGGCGGTGGGCACTGGCGCTCTTCGATGGAGGTCCAGTGTTGCTGTGCCTGTCCACGGCTGCCTGGCCATTGTTGACGGGCTTGTTTTCCGCCACCACCACCGCCATAAGTTAGAGGAGGAGGGGGTCTTCCTCCTCCTCCTCCTCCTCGTCCTCCTCCTCCTCGTCCTCCACCTCCTTCCCCCCTCCAGCTTATGGTGGTGGTGGTGGAAAACAGGCCCATCAATTGTGTTTTTGCTTCGGATGCAGGCGGAAGCTCGAGCGAATGCCGTTTTCGCGGTCTCGGCGGAAGGGTCCGAGATGTCCGCTCTGGGTGTTCGCGCGGGTACGGCCAAGACCTCTGACACGAATGCGCTCGATGCCTTGATCGTTTAGGTCTTGAGGTCGATCTGGTGTTTGCAGGATTTCCCTGTTGTGTCACATTCGATACACATTCGATACTCGTCTTCAATTGCAAGAAGATGGCGGCTGTTTGACGATTCTTCCCGTTGGGACCAGCAGTCAGTCACATTTGAAAGAGTGCAGTGGTGGCCTAAAGCATGATCTATTTGGGACAGCTTGAACACCGCGACGTCTTCATCCATCGGCTCTGCGTCAGACCCTCGGCTTGTTTTTGTTATATATGTTTGCTGGTAATTCCGCATGCGCGCACCTGCAAGGCCACGCGTCACACGAGCTTCAAGGAGCAACTGTCCATTGGAAATGAGATCCATCAGATGTTCCGGCTCGCCCGCATTGCTGACGGATGGGTCTAGCGCGCGCGGGCCAAAGATCTCGTTTGACCCCTGTCTTGCTCGGTGCAATTTCGCATTGAGGTCGCCCGGCATAACAGCGGCGCTGCGCGAGGTCGCAATCCGGATTGCGGCCCGCAGCTCGTTGCGAAAGTCATCGCGGGCTTCGAAGTCGCAGTTGGCGTTGCCGCGAGGCGCGCGAGCGGTCGCCGGCGTGGGCATGCCGCCTTTGGCCCGTATTTGAATCGCTTCTTATCTAGTGTTGCACGTCGAGAAAGCAAAGGATTATAGCAGGCGGCGCACTCGGATTGGCGAGCGAACAGCGTGCGCCCGCGCGCGGGGGACCGCGGGCGCGCGTTATCGGGCGGGGGCCCGCGCGCGAACTGGGGCCTCCCCCGTGGTCCGACAACCCGCGCCCGTGCCGATGGCCAGTCCTCCTTCTGCCTGCCCCATGGGCGCGGGCGCGCGCTGTTCGTTCGTCGTGGAGCAACAATTGGACCCGGCCCCGGCGCAGCGTCGCGCCCCCGCAACCAAGTGCCCAGAAAGGAACGCATCAAACCAATTTTTACGATGGTGCTCAGCTCCGCTCAAGTGCGTCTCCTGCACGCGCGGCGCATCAATGATTGAACGTTGCACCGCCCGGGTAAGCTCGCCCAGTCTAACGGTGGAATCGCCGCGCAGACCTTCGATGTTCCGCGCGTCCAGGCGCCGGACTCATCGCGGCGCGAATAGACGACGGGGCCTGCGCGAAGAACGGCGCTGCAGGGTTGAGCGGGCCCGGCGGGGGCGGGGGCGAGGGCGGGGCGGGCGGGCGTGGGGGTCGAAAGAGATTTGGCGAACGTGCTGGGGAAGTCGCACTGCGGGCGTTGTCGCAGTCACCGAAGGTGCACGACGAGGACGAGCGCGTCGCCATCATATCTATGTTCGCGCGGATGCCCAGATTGAGATAGACGAGATGACGGGGGCCACCCCTAGTGCGTTCGCGCGGATGCCCAGGTGGAGGCAGACAAGGCGGCG